ACGTACAGTACCAGTCAAAGGTTTGGACACACCTACTCATTCAAGGGTTTTTCTTTATTTTTTACTATTTTCTACATTGTAGTGTCTAAATAGTGAAGACATCAAAACTATGAAATAACACATATAGTTATAGTTCATTTAGTTACCAAAAAAGTGTTAAACAAATGAAAATATATTTTATATTTGAGATTCTTCAAAGTAGCCACCCTTTGCCTTGATGAAAATGAATGCACTCACTAACTGTAAAACGATCTGGATTAGAGCGTCTGCTAAATGACTAAAATGTAAATGACAGCTTTGCACAATCTTGATATTCTCTCAACCAGCTTCATGAGGTAGTCACCTGGAATGGATTTCAATTAACAGGTGTGCCTTCTTAATGCGTTTGAGCCAATCGGTTGTGTTGTGGCAAGGTAGGGTTGGTATACAGAAGATAGCCTTATTTGGCTATCATTACTTTAAAACATGAAGGTCAGTCAATCCGGAACATTTCTAGAACTTTTAACGTTTCTTCAAGTGCAGTCGTAAAAACCATCAAGCGCTATGATGAAACTGGCTCTCATGAGGACCGCCACAGGAATGGAAGACTCAGAGTTACCTCTTCTGCAGAGGATAAGTTCATTAGAGTTACCAGCCTCAGAAATTGCAGCCCAAATAACTGCTTCACAGAGTTCAAGTAACAGACACATCTCAACATCAACTGTTCAGAGGAGACTGCGTGAATCAGGCCTTCATGGTCGAATTGCTGCAAAGAAACCACTACTAAAGGACACCAATAAAAAGAAGAGACTTGCTTGGGCCAAGAAACACGAGCAATTGACATTAGACCGATGGAAATCTGTCCTTTGGTCTGATGAGTCCAAGTTTGAGATTTTTGGTTCCAACCGCCGTGTCTTTGTGAGACGCAGAGTAGGCAAATGGATGATCTCCGCATGTGTAGTTCCCACCGTGAAGCATGGAGGAGGAGGTGTGATGGTGTGGGGGTGCTTTGCTGGTGACACTGTCTGTGATTTATTTAGAATTCAAGGCACACTTAACCAGCATGGCTACCACAGCATTCTGCAGCGATACGCCATCCCATCTGGTTTGGGCTTAGTGGGACTATCCTTTGTTTTCAACAGGACAATGATCCAACACACGTCCAGGCTGTGTAAGTGCTATTTTACCAAGAAGGAGAGTGATGGAGTGCTGCATCAGATGACCTGGCCTCCACAATCCCCCGACCTCAACCCAATTGAGATGGTTTGGGATGAGTTGGACAGCAGAGTGAAGGAAAAGCAGCCAACATGTGCTCAGCATATGTGGGAACTCCTTCAAGACTGTTGGGAAAGCATTCCAGGGGAAGCTGGTTGAGAGAATGTCAAGAGTTTGCAATGCTGTCATCAAGGCAAAGGGTGGCTACTATTAAAAATAAAAAATCTAAAATATATTTGGATTTGTTTAACCTCTACGGGATCGGTTGAGCTAACGTGGGCTAATGTGATTAGCATGACTGTTGTAAGTAACAGCAAACTTTCCAGGACATAGATATGTCTTATATGGGCAAAAAGCTTCAATTCTTGTTCATCTAACTGCACTGTCCAATTTACAGTAGCTATTACAGTGAAAAAATACCATGCTATTGTTTGAGGAGAGTGCACAACAAAACAAATCTTATCATGGCAACTGGTTTGATACATTCACCTATGAAGGTAAATAATGTACTTACATTCAGTAATCTTGCTCTGATTTGTCATCCTAATGGTCCCAGAGATAAAATGTAGCATAGTTTAGTTTGATAAAATCCATTTATATATTAAAATGTAGGAACTGGGTTCTACAGTTTGAACCCCTGCTGTTTCTGGCTCCACACCCACACCGCCCAACCATCTAGTTGTGTGAAAGTTAGTGTATAAGCTAATGATCCATCATGTATGACATTCCTGGGAGGGTGTAAACTTACATTTTGTATTACCATATCATTTTTGCATGTTCTCTATAGTTATGTACTTGAAAATGTATCAATTGACCAATTCGGCACATTTGGGCAGACTTGATACAAAATAGTTCAGTATTGCAATGCTTCACTGGATCAATTGGAAACTTTGCACACACACTGCTGCCATCTAGTGGCTAAAATCTAAATTGCGCCTAAACTGCAATATTATATTGTGGCCTTTCTCAGTTAGATATGGGTATGTCATTTTAGGCAAAAATGGAAAAAAAGGGTCTGATCCTTAAGAGGTTAACACTTTTTTGGTTACTACATGATTCCATATGTGTTATTTCATAGTTTTGATATATTCACTATTATTCTACAATGTAGAAGATAATAAAAGTACAGCAAAACCTTGAATGAGTAGGTGTGTCCAAACTTTGGCAGTGATTACAGCCTCGAGTCTTCTTGGATATGACGCTACAAGCTTGGCACACCTGTATTTGGGGAGTGTCAAGGACATTCAGAGACTTGTCCCGAAGCCTTGGCTGTGTGCTTAAGGACGTTGTCCTGTTGGAAGTTGAACCTTTGCTCCAGTCTGAGGTCCTGAGCGCTCTGGAGCAGGTTTTCATCAAGGATCTCTCTGTACTTTGCTCCGTTCATCTTTTCCTCGATCCTGACTAGTCTCCCAGTCCCTGCTGCTGAAAAACATCCCCACAGCATGATGCTGCCACCACCATGCTTCACCGTAGGGATGGTGCCAGGTTTACTCCAGACATGTCGGTTGGCATTCAGGCCAAAGAGTTCAATATTGGTTTCATCAGACCAGAGAATCTTGTTTCTCATGGTCTGATAGTCGTTAAGGTACCTTTTGGCAAACTCCAAGTGGGCTGTCATGTGCCTTTTACTGAGGAGTGGTTTCTGTGTGGCCACTCTACCATAAAGGCCTGATTGGTGGAGTGCTGCAGAGATGGTTGTTCTTCTGGAAGGTTCTCCCATCGCAAACAGAGGAACTATGGAGCTCTGTCAGAGTGACCATCAGGTTCTTGGTCACCTCCCTGACCAAGGCCTTCTCCCCCAATTTCTCAGTTTGGCAGGGCGGCCAGCTCTAGGAAGAGTCTTGGTGGTTCCAAACTTCCTCCATTTAGGAATGATGGAGGCCACTGTATTCTTGGGTATCTTCAATGCTGCAGACATTTTTTTGGTACCCTTCCCCAGATCTGTGTCTCGACACAATCCTGTCTCGGAGCTCTACGGACAATTCCTTCGACCTCATGGCTTGGTTTTTGCTCTGACATGCACTGTCAACTGTGGGACCTTATATAGACAGGTGTGTGCCTTTCCAAATCATGTCCAATCAATTGAATTTCCCACAGGTGGACTCCAATCAAGTTGTAGAAACATCTCAAGGATGATCAATGGAAACAAGATCCACCTGAGCTCAATTTCGAGTCTCATAGTAAAGGGTCTGAATACTTATGTAAATAAGGTATTTCTGTTTTTATTTTTAATAAATTAGCAAACATTTCTAAAAACCAGTTTACTCTTCGTCATTATTGTGTGTAGATTGATGAGGAACATTTTTAATTTAATCATTTTTAGAATAAGGCTGTAATGTAACAAAATGTGGAAAAAGGGAAGGGGTCTGAATACTTTCCGAATGCACTGTATTCCATCTAGTCCTCACCCAGGATGACAGCAGGTTGCCTAATGGCGGCATGACAACAGGTTATAGGCCTATAGGGCTCTAGTATCTCCTATGCAGTATCTCCTATACAGTACCTACCATACTGATGCTGATGAGCTTTCCTAGGAGGAGAGCGATCTCCCCGCGTTTTCACAATCTCTTTTTGACTTGTTTGAGGTTTTGGCATGGGTTTATCCCTCATTGATGGTGTCAGACTCATTGCAGTTGCACACAAGCTGGCACTAACTTGGTGAAGTGAAAAGGACTTGGAAGACACAACTGGCTATAGAGACACAAAGGGTCAAATTGAATGGCTAGTTAAACAAATGAGGCTACAGTTGATGAAGGAATGCCTGTTTGTTATAGTTTGATTGTGCAGTGATCGTGGTTCTATATTATATAAAAGCAGAAATGACTCAATAAGTAGGCAGATAGATTGTGGACCATGGCAGTACCCACAACTTGATATCTACAAAAACTGCCACTATTTTTGGTTGTTATAAACAGATAGGTTTTCTTGTAGGATTAAACAAACGCACAGAATCAAAAGCTGTTTCAAGGTCTTTGAGAATTGCTCAAGCTGTAAATATTTGCAGTGAGGACAAAAGCAATGAATAAAACATATAATTTTCGACAACGATTTAAGCCACTCAGTTTCAAATATGCACCCATGCACCTACAATCATTTTCAGAATAATTTTGATCCTCATTTTCATGGATCCTCTTTGTCTGTGGCATGCATATTTACTGACAACATCTAAATTAGGACTACGGTGGTCTCTGTTTCCTTGGTGACAAGTGTAAATCTGAAAAGGTCATGTCCCTTCATGGTTATATGATGTACAGATTTGAGCCAGTTTGCAACAGCAGGAAAATAATACTGCAGCAACAGGAAATGTGAATTATGATGTGGATTATAATTAATGGACATCTTTGTAGGTGATTGATACATTTTTGGTAAGGAAAAATCAAGTCTGAAATTTCAAAGTGGAAATTAACCCTCAAATACCCAACAAGTTTTAAATTGACTGCATTGCAGGAAAGTTCTCCGTCAACAGGGTGATCAATTTAAGATCCTACATGTGTAAACATTACTGTCTGCTGATAAGTGGTTTGAATGATGGCTGTCCTGAATTTCCCTCCCACCACTACAGTAGAATGCTCATCTCTCACAGCTGAGAGATCATTCAAAGCAAGTCATTCCATTCCAAATGGAAGCCAGAGACATATTTGTATGCATTGATAGAATTCAATGACCCACTGTAATTTATTTCAGGATAGGGAAAAAGTGGCTTTTCAACACAGGCTTTTCAGACATGATACAGTACACTATACAATTGAACACATCTTGAAGATATAATTGTTTCAATGTCTTTTTCCTTTATCATGTTTTTGCAGAGAGGAATAATCGGGGCTCTTGGCAGAGAGGAGTTATCGGGACAGAAACAGAAACCATCAATTCTATGCACTTGGTTGAACTTTTGAGAACGACCAAACAAAACTCTAATGTCAGAACAATATTTGACCTGGAAAAGCATCGGACGAAGAGGTCAGCGGTCTTCCACTCTGGAGTGAGAGTCTGTCCTCAGGAGACCATCAATGAGGTCATCGCCAGCCATCAAGCCTACTACAAGCTCAGAGGTATAGTCCTCCCATTCATTATAGTTAATCATTATAGTTAATCAATTGCTATTCTGTTGGATATTTCAGTGTCACATGTTCAGTATCCAGGTCTTCTGCCCTCGACAGAAGTCATGAGGTGACGCCTCGCCCGGGGCATGGCATGTATAGCCTCTACTCAAACGAAATGGTGAAAGTTGTGGTGTGCACCAGTCAGAAATGTCTAAATACATTATATAAAGAAAAGTATGTGGACACCCCTTCAAATTAGTGGATTTGGCTATTTCAGCCCCACCCGTTACTGACAGGTGTCTAAAATCGAGCACACAGCCATGCAATCTCCATAGACAAACATTGGCAGTAGAATGGTCTTACTGAAGAGCTCAGTGACTTTCAACGTGGCACTGTCATAGGATGCCACCTTTCCAACAAGTCAGTTCGTCAAATTTCTGCCCTGCTAGAGCTGCCCCGGTCAACTGTAAGTGCTGTTATTGTGAAGTGGAAACGTCTAGGAGCAACAACGGCTCAGCCACAAAGTGGTAGGCCACACAAACTCACAGAACGGGACCGCTGAGTGCTGAAGCACGTAGCGCATAGAAATTGTCTGTTCTCAGTTGCAACACTCACTACCGAGTTCCTAACTGCCTCTGGAAGCAACATCAGCACAAGAACTGTTCGTCGGGAGCTTCATGAAATAGGTTTCAATGGCGAGCAGCCACACACAAGCCTAAGATCACCATGCACAATGCCAAGTGGAGACTGGAGTGGTGTAAGCTCACCGCCATTGGACTCTGGAGCAGTGGAAACGTGTTCTCTGGAGTGATGAATCACGCTTCACCATCTGGCAGTCCGACGGACGAATCTGGGTTTGGTGGATGCCAGGGGAACGCTACCTGCCCAAATGCATAGTGACAACTGTACGGTTTGGTGGAGGAGGAATAATTGTCTGGGGCTATTTTTCATGGTTCGGGCTAGGCCCCTTAGATCCAGTGAAGGGAAATCTTAACGCTACAACATACAGTGACATTCGAGACGATTCTGTGATTCTAACTTTGTGGCAACAGTTTGGGGAAGGCCCTTTCCTGTTTCAGCATGACAATGCCCTGTGCACAAAGCGAGGTCCATACAGAAATGGTTTGTCGGGATCGGTGTGTAAGAACTTGTCTGGCCTGCACAGAACCCTGACCTCAACCACATCAAACACCTTTGGGATGAATTGGAACGCCGACTGTGAGCCAGGCCTAATCGCCCAACATCAGTGCCCGACCTCACTAATGCTGTTGTGGCTAAATGGAAGCAAGTCCCCGCAGCAATGTTCCAACATCTAGTGGAAAGCCTTCCCAGAAGAGTGGATGCTGTTATAGCAGCAAAGGGGGGACCAACTCCAAATTAATGCCCATGATTTTGGAATGAGATGTTCAACAAGCAGGTGTCCACATACTTATGGTCATATACAGTGGCTTGCGAAAGTATTCACCCCCCTTGGCATTTTTCCTATTTTGTTGCCTTACAACCTGGAATTAAAATAGATTTTTGTGGGGTTTGTATCATTTTATTTACACAACGTGCCTACCACTTTGAAGATGCATTTTTTTGTGAAACAAACAACAAATAAGACAGAAAAACAGAACTTGAGTGTGCATACTGTTCACCCTCCCCGAAGTCAATACTTTGAAGAGCCACCTTTTGCAGCAATTACAGCTGCAAGTCTCTTGGGGTATGTCTCTATAAGCTTGGCACATCTAGCCACTGGGATTTTTGCCCATTCTTCAAGGCAAAACTGCTCCAGCTCCTTCAAGTTGGATGGGTTCCGCTGGTGTACAGCAATCTGTAAGTCATACCACAGATTCTCAATTGGATTGAGGTCTGGGCTTTGACTAGGCCATTCCAAGACATTTAAATGTTTCCCCTTAAACCACTCGAGTGTTGCTTTAGCAGTATGCTTAGGGTCATTGTCCTGCTGGAAGGTGAACCTCCGTCCCAGTCTCAAATCTCTGGAAGACTGAAACAGGTTTCCCTCAAGAATTTCCCTGTATTTAGCGCCATCTATCATTCCTTCAATTCTGACCAGTTTCCCAGTCCCTGCCAATGAAAAACATCCCCACAGCATGATGCTGCCACCACCATGCTTCATTGTGGGGATGGTGTTCTCGGGTGATGAGAGATGTTGGGTTTGCGCCAGACATAGCGTTTTCCTTGATGGCTAAAAAGCTCAATTTTAGTCTCATCTGACCAGAGTACCTTCTTCTATATGTTTGGGGAGTCTCCCACATGGCTTTTGGCGAACACCAAACGTGTTTGCTTATTTTTTTCTTTAAGCAATGGCTTTATTCTGGCCACTCTTCCGTAAAGCCCAGATCTGTGGAGTGTACGGCTTAAAGTGGTCCTATGGACAGATACTCCAATCTCCGCTGTGGAGCTTTGCAGCTCCTTCAGGGTTATCTTTGGTCTCTTTGTTGCCTCTCTGATTAATGCCCTCCTTGCCTGGTCTGTGAGTTTTGGTGGGTGGCCCTCTTCTGGGCAGGTTTGTTGTGGCTGCCATATTCTTTCATTTTTTATAATGGATTAATGGTGATCCGTGGGAATGTTCAAGGTTCCAGATATTTTTTTTAGAACCCCAACCCGGATCTGTACTTCTCCACAACTTTGTCCATGACCTGTTTGGATAGCTCCTTGGTCTTCATGGTGCCGCTGCTTGGTGGTTGGCCCTTGCTTCGGTGGTGTTGCAGACTCTGGGGCCTTCAGAAACAGGTGTATATATCCGAGATCATGTGACACTTAGATTGCACCACAGGTGGACTTTTTAACTAATTATGTGACTTCTGAGGAATTGGGGGCACAAGATCTTATTTAGGGGGCTTATAGCAAAGGGGCGTGAATACATATGCACGCACCACTTTTCCGTTATTAATTTTTTTGAATTTTTGAAACAAGTTTTTTTTCATTTCACTTCACCCAATTTTGACTATTTTGTGTATGTCCATTACATGAAATTCAAATAAAAATCAATTTAAATTACAGGTTGTAATGCAACAAAATAGGAAAAACGCCAAGGGGGATGAATACTTTTGCAAGGCACTGTACACTTATTAATGCTCAGATTATTCTGCTAATTATCCATTGGATCACATTTTGGTTTATTTTATTTTGAATGGACTGGAGTGTCACATTGTGTAACTGATGCAGTAAAACCATGGCAGGTAGAGTGATGCCATTGTGGGATCATGTGTAAGATTCCTCAGGAGGACAATGTATCTTTTCTACAGATTATTATCCTATTGGAAAATACGTTGGCCATATTTGTTAAAGAGATACATTGCCTTATACAATTCCTATATAATTGTAATTGTATAGGGAAGCAGGAAAGTAAAGGCTAGATAGTGTTGGGGCATCCTTACACTCTTAGAAAAAAAGGTGGTATCTAGAACTTAAAAGGGTTCTTTGTCTGTCCCCATAGGATAACCATTTGAAGAACCATTTTTGCCTCCAGGTAGAACCTCTTTCCACAGAGGGTTCTACATGGAACCCGAAAGTGTTCTGCTTGGAACCAAAAAGGGTTCTAACTGGAACCAAAAAGGGTTCTCCTATGGGGACAGCCGAAGAACCCTTTTGGAACCCTTTTTTCTAAGCATGTAGGTAGGAAGTGTGTGCATGTGTACATGACTGAATTAAGTTATTTATCATGAGAATCATCCATGTCTTCTCTTGGAAAGTAAAGCCAGCTTTTATGTCTCTACTACTGAAACCTTATGTATCTGAAAATTATTTGCTGGGTTTTAGAGTTATTTGTACTTTGAGACACCCCGTGATGAGTTCTTGGTGTTTGTCCCAAATGGCACCCTATTCCCTTTATAGTGCACTACTTTTGACCAGGGCCAATAGGGAATAGGGTGCCATTTGGAACATACACTCAGACTTGATGTGGATCTGTATCTATTGTGCTGAATATCTTTCATTCTTACTGGAACACTGTTCTCTCTTTGGTCAGTTTGTCAGGAGGCTGTGTGGGAGGCCTTCCGGATCTTCTTTGACCGGATCCCTGGAACTACAGAATATACAACATGGGTTCACACATGTCAACATGAGTCTCTGTGCCTCTCTGACCTGGCCACTAACTTCAGCAACTCAGAGGAGCACATGAGTATGGTGTACAGGGTGAGGAACCAACGACACATGACTCCCTTTTATGTGTCGTAATTGTTAGACCAATAATTACTTACATTATTTGAATGAACATATGCACGTCTTTATGGGGTGAGGGGGAGGGGGGGGGGGGGGGGGGGGGGGGGGGGTGTATCATGTGAAATCAATTTATTTCAGTAGATTTTCCTCAGGAAACAACAGCATTGTTTCTTGCACAATAGCCATAGGGAAAGCAGTTGTTTATTACGTTGAAACTTGTTTCTTTCCCCTCTTTATTCAAACCTGTTGACATTTAATTATTACATATCAGTCTCTTGATAATAAATATCCACATTATATTGCTCCCAATAACACACAAAACAGCAACACATCAATCTGGTCTAGTCAATTTGGTTATTTTACATTCCTATGAGGGTATAACATGCATATACTGTATATTTGCAGACAGCACTCCCAAGTGCATGTTTCAGTGGTACCTTACATGCTACACAGTTTTGAAGTATTATGTCATTGGTTTGAATTGATGTGTGCGATTCATGTTATGATTGTAATTCTGCTCTCACAGAGGATGAACCTGCGAGATGAGAGGCAGCCGACTGGGTAAGGCTTAGAGACAAGACGGTACCTTATGCAGCCTGTTGTCTGCTGATAGTTGTCATGGAGCGCTGCTTTCTCACACACAGTGCAGCCTTCTTGAGTCAGGCTTTGGAGTTGACCTGTCACATCATGCCCTCTCTCCAAGTGTATAATGGCTGATTATGGATACTCAATGGTAGAGTGGCTCTTGAGATATGAAGGAATCAGTCACACATCTTAGAAACTGAACATGCATGATAGCAATTGGCACTGAAATTATGATAATGAAGTCATGCGAGATGGTAGATGAATAGTAATTAACAAGAAATTAAACTTTAATTTATGCAGTTCTTTATTAGAATATGCCAAGCTGACATTGATTGTAACTAGGCAGCAGCAGCCACTCTGAGAAAGAAAGTCATAGGTAAAGACATTAGTACTTAATTCTAAGTTGTTGTTAATTATCTTTAAATTACCATCTCACGTGACAGAATCATCATCAATTACCATCAAGTATTTAACCAGGTAGTTACTATATATAAAATAGTCTTAGGTATACTGTACATGCACTCTTGCATATAGTACTGCTGGTTGATGACCAGTCTAATCTTAGACAGGTGGAGAGCTTGTGCATTGCCATGGTAATGATCTTGTAAAGTCATTAGGGGATACAGTGCCTTCCGAAAGTATTCAGTCCCCTTGACCTTTTCCACATTTTGTTACGTTACAGCCTCATTCTAAATATATATATATAATTTTTTTTAGCATCATCAATTTACACACAATACCCCATAATGACGAAGCAAAACAATTTTTTCCCCCTGATATCCAATTGGTAGTTAACAGTCTTGTCCAATGCTGCAACTCCCGTACAGACTCGGGAGAGGTGAAGGTCAAGAGCCATAAGTCCTCCGAAACACGACCCTGTCAAGCTGCACTGCTTCTTGACACACTGCCCACTTAACCCGGAAGCCAGCCGCACCAATGTGTCAGAGGAAACACCGTACAACTGGTGACCAAAGTCAGCGTGCATGCATCCGGCCTGCCACAAGGAGTCGCTAGAGCGCGATGGGACCAAGGACATCCCGGCCGGCCAAACCCTCCCCTAACCTGGACGACGCTGGGCCAATTGTGCGCCGCCTCATGGGTCTCTCGGTCGCGGCTGGCTGCAACACAGCCTGGTATCGAACCCGCGTCTGTAGTGACGCCTCAAGCACTGCGATGCAGTGCCTTAGACCGCTGCGCCACTCGGGAAGCCTGTAGGTTTTCAGACATTTTTGCCAATTTATTACAAATAAAAAACTGAAATATCACATTTACATAAGTATTCAGGCCCTTTACGCAGTACCTTGTTAAAGTACCTTGGGCAGTGATTACAGCATCAAATCTTCTTGGGTATGACGCTACAAGCTCGGCACACCTGTATTTGGGGAGTTTCTCCCATTTTTCTCTGCAGATCCTCTCAAGCTTTGTCAGGTTGGATGGGGAGCGTTGCAGCACAGCTATTTTCAGGTCTCTCCAGAGATGTTAGATCGGGTTCAAGTCCGGGCTCTGGCTGGGCCACTCAAGGACATTCAGAGACTTGTCCCGAAGCCACTCCTGCATTGTCTTGGAACCCTCGCCCCAGTCTGAGGTCCTGAGCGCTCTGGAGCAGGTTTTCATCAAGGATCTCTCTGTTCTTTGCTCCATTCATCTTTGCCTCGATCCTGACTAGTCTCCCAGTCCCTGCTACTGAAAAATTCATCCCCACAGGATGATGCTGCCAGCACCATGCTTCACCGTAGGGATGGTGCCAGGTTTCCTCCAGACGTGACGCTTGGCATTCAGGCCAAAGAGTTCAATCTTGGTTTCATCAGACCGGACAATCTTGTTTCTCATGGTCTGAGAGTCCTTTAGGTGCCTTTGGCAAACTCCAAGCGAGCTGTCATGTGCCTTTTACTAAGGAGTGGCTTCCGTCTGGCCACTCTACCATAAAGGCCTGATTGGTGGAGTGCTGCAGAGATGGTTGTCCTTCTGGAAGGTTCTCCCATCTCCACAGAGGAACTCTAGAGCTCTGTCAGAGTGACCATCAGGTTCTTGGTCACCTCCCTGACCAAGGCCCTTCTCCCCCAATTACTCAGTTTGGCCGGGTGGCCAGCTCTACGAAGAGTTTTGGTGGTTCCAAACATCTTCCATTTAAGAATGATGGAGGCCACTGTGTTCTTGGGGACTTTCAATGCTGCAGAAATGTTTTGTTACCCTTCCCCAGATCTGTGCCTCGACACAATCTTGTCTCTGAGTTCTAAGGACAATTCCTTCGACCTCATGGCTTGGTTTTTGCTCTAACATGCACTGTCAACTGTGGGACCTTATATAGACAGGTGTGTACCTTTCCAAATCATGTCCAATCAATTGAATTTACCACAGGTGGACTCAAATCAAGTTGTATAAACATCTCAAGGATGATCAATGGAAACAGGATGCACCTGAGCTCAATTTCGAGTCTCATAGCAAAGGGGCTGAATAGTTATATAAATAAGGTATTTCTGTTGTTCACTTTGTCATTATGGGGTTTTGTGTGTAGATTGCTGAGGATTTTTATTATTTAATCCATTTTAGAATAAGGCTGTAACGTAACAAAATATAGAAAAAGTCAAGGGGTCTGAATACTTTCCGAAGGCACTGTATGTGCATGTTTTCAAGTGCTGTTTTTTACAAACCATTACCTTTATCACTCAAAGCTGGGCTAATTTGGACAGATTTTTATTTATCTGCCATTTTTTTGTTGTTGTTTTTGTTGTTGTACAAAAGTACAACAAATAAGGAATATTCTCATCATGTACAAACCTGAAAATATAGCCTACATATTATTTTGCATAATGAATTATGTGTATTTTCTCCTCTTTCACCTGCAGAGTGGTAGCAGCCACAACCACAGCAGCACCGGAGGTTGCTGATATAACAGGTATAGCAAGACACTGTATCAAGATGTACAGTGGCTTGCGAAAGTATTCACCCCCCTTGGCATTTTTCCTATTTTGTTGCCTTACAACCTGGAATTAATATTGATTTTGTGGGGGTTTGAATCATTTGATTTACACAACATGCCTACCACTTTGAAGATGCAAAATATTTTTTATTGTGAAACAAACAAGAAATAAGACAAAAAAACTGAAATCTTGAGCGTCAATAACTATTCACCCCCCGAAAGTCAATACTTTGTAGAGACACCTTTTGCAGCAATTACAGCTGCAAGTCTCTTGGGGTATGTCTCTATAAGCTTGGCACATCTAGCCACTGGGATTTTTGCCCATTCTTCAAGGCAAAACTGCTCCAGCTCCTTCAACTTGGATGGGTTCTGCTGGTGTACAGCAATATTTAAGTCATACCACAGATTCTCAATTTGATAGAGGTCTGGGCTTTGACTTGGCCATTCCAAGACATTTAAATGTTTCCCCTTAAACAACTCAAGTGTTGCTTTAGCAGTATGCTTAGGGTCAGTCCTGCTGGAAGGTGAACCTCCGTCCCAGTCTCAAATATCTGAATGACTGAAACAGGTTTCCCTCAAGAATTTCTCTGTATTTAGAGCCATCCATCATTCCTTAAATTCTGACCAGTTCCCAGTCCCTGCCGATGAAAACATCCCCACAGTATGATGCTGCCACCACCATGATGGTGTTCTCGGGTGATGAGTGGTGTTGGGTTTGCGCCAGACATTGCGTTTTCCTTGATGGCCAAAAGCTCAATTTTAGTCTCATCTGACCAGAGTACCTTCTTCCATATGTTTGGGGAGTCTCCCACATGCCTGTTGGCGAACACCAAACGTGTTTGCTTATTTTTTTCTTTAAGCAATGGCTTTTTTCTGGGCACTCTTCCATAAAGCCCAGCTCTGTGGAGTGTACGGCTTAAAGGGGTCCTATGGACAGATACTCCAATCTCCGCTGTGGAGCTTTGCAGTTCCCTTCAGGGTTATCTTTGGGCTCTTTGTTGCCACTCTGATTAATGCCCTCCTTGCCTTGTCTGTGAGTTTTGGTGGGCGGCCCTCTCTTGGCAGGTTTGTTATGGTGCCATATTCTTTCCATTTTTTAATAATGGATTTAATGGTGCTCCGTGGGATGTTCAAAGTTTCTGATATTTTAATAATATTTATAACCCAACCCTGATCAGTACTTCTCCACAACTTTGTCCCTGACCTGTTTGGAGAGCTCCTTGGTCTTCATGGTGCCGCTTGCTTGGTGGTGCCCCTTGCTTAGTGGTGTTGCAGGCTCTGGGGCCTTTCAGAGCAGGTGTATATATACTGAGATCATGTGACACTTAGATAGCACACATGTGGACTTTTTAAAACTAATTATGTGACTTCTGAAGGTAATTGGTTGCACCAGATAATTTTTAGGGGCTTCATAGCAAAGGGGGTGAATACATATGCACGCACCACTTTTCCGTTATTTATTTCTTCACTTCAATTCAGCAATTTGGACTATTTTGTGTATGTCCATTACATGATATCCAAATAAAAATCATTTTAAATTACAGGTTGTAATGCAACAAAATAGGAAAAACGCCAAGGGGGTTGAATACTTTTGCAAGGCACTGTATCAAGACACTGTATCAAGATCTATCAAGACACTGTAACACTATGTATCAAGACACTGTACCAAGATGTGTCAACACACTGTGTCAAGATGTATCAAGATGTATCAAGACATTGTTTTTTATTAATTTAACCTTTATTTAACCAGGTAAGCCAGTTGAGAACAAGTTCTCATTTACAACTGCGACCTGGCCAAGATAAAGCAAAGCAGACACTGTATCAAGATTTATCAAGACACTGTATCAAGATGTATCAAGACACTGTATCAAGATGTGTCAAGACACTGTATCAAGATGTATCAGGACACTGTATCAAGATGTATCAAGACACTGTATCAAGATGTCAACACACTGTATCAAGATTTATCAACACACTGTATCAAGATGTGTCAAGTAATTGAATCAAGATGCACATATCAATGGTGAATTAAATCTAATATACAATATAATTAAATTGTAATTAACCGTTAAGGTCCAGAGGAGGCCCAGACTGCAGCACCAGAACCACCTGCTCCTGTAACCAGCGATGCCAGCGTCCCTGATGCTCCTGAGGTTACAGTTGAAGAAGAAACTGCGGAGGAGGAGGTAAACAACATTTATTTTAGGCTAGATGTTTAGATTGCTAACAACTTGCAGACTGAAAGGAAAGCTGACAGAAAGATTGCTTGTTGTTGCCCAGCCCAGCTGTTGTCTTGTTGAGCTGATAACATTTAACCATATGGTCTAGCACTACACCTCTTATCAAATACAGGTAACTGCCAAAATAATGCAAACACTTGAGTAAATGAGGAATACAAAGTATATTGAAAGCAGGTGCTTCCACACAGGTGTGGTTCTTGAGTTAATTAAGCAATTAACATCCCATCATGCTTAGGGTCATGCATAAAAATGCTGGGCAGGCCATTATTTTGTGTTACATGGTTATACCACTATAGGATGACATTGCTCCTATCCACAGGGCAAGAGTGGTCACTGAATGGTTTGATGAGCATGTAAATGATGTAAACCATATTCCATGGCTCAGTCACCAGATCTCAACCCAAACAAACACGTATGGGAGATTCTGGAGTGGCTCCTGAGACAGCATTTCCACCACCATCAACAAAACACAAAATTATGGAATTTCTCATGAAATAATGGTGTCGCATCCCTCCAATAAAGTTCCAGACACTTGTAGAATCTATGCCAAGGTGCATTGAAGCTGTTCTGGCTCGTGGTGACCCAATGCCCTATTAGGACACTTTATGTTGGTGTTTCCTTTATTTTGTTTGTTACCTGTACATTATCTGACTACTGGGTCCTATTCATTAGGGCAAACCATAACATAACGTTTTGCAAGGGAAAACGAAAACTAGGAATTTCTTATTGAACAAGTTCAGGTTGTCCCTCCATGTTTCAGTCTGTTTTCTTTTCTTTTGGTGCCTAATGAATAGGGCCCGGTTGTCTTCTCCTGTTTGTAGGACTCTGAGCTGCCCAACGTTGTCCCGGAGCAGCCTGTGGAGGAGATAGTGGAGTTCAGCATTGACCTGGTGGACCCAGGCTACAAGGAACTACTGGACGACCCTGACTCCCCCCAATATGTTGACCTCTCTCATCACCTGCAAGACCAGGTAAGATTATAATATAGCCTGGTCCCAGATCTGTTTGTGCTTTTGCCAACTACATTGCTGTCATTGTCAAGCCAAATGGAATGAACATTTGTGACAAGGAGTTGGCATGATGGCGCACACAGACTGACACCCAGGCTAGCTGACACACTACACAGTAGAAGACCAGACTTATGGGAGCTCTGTAGTCTGTACTCCCTCTTTATGTCCATCAGTAAAATGTTATTGATGATTTTAAGTCCCTAAGACCAATGGGATATATGTTTTTATTCCCTTGAGGTACAGTTTATTCACTGTCTTGATGTTTTTTAAAATAGGTTTTCAATGAGCCTCAAACAATATTTCCCAATGAAAATAAAGCCATGATCTTATCTTATCAGTGTAACACAATCAACTGCCAGATACAGGTGCCTGATGCTGCACAGTGTGCTCTGTGACATGTTGCTACAAGTGGTACTGTCCTCATGGGTTGTGGCCCTCGGAGGGAGTTCATGGTAAAGATGATTATATAATGCCACAGGATCATGAGCCAGAGGCAGAGAAAGCAGATTACTGAGTTCCACTTGGACCGTCAGGGCTGGATTCTCAACCTGACTAGACCCAGGCTCAGTCCCAATCCTCCACCCTTCTCCCAAAGTATGCTTGCACCAATCCCATGCTTTTAAATCCATGACAGTGAAGGTGCAAGTGCACACTTTTGGAAAAGGGTAGAGAACAGGGACGTAGCCCAAAGCTCTGCCAACCATTTTACTCTTTGAGAGAAAATATATATTTTCACTTAACTATCCCATTCAAGTGCTCTGGAAGCTAGTTGGCACATACTGTATTGAGCTTTATTGGAGATGGAGGCCTTCATTGGATTTCCCCCAATGGACTCTCAAAGCTCCATAAGAGACGATTATGTCATAACTGTGCGCTAAATGTGATTAAGTAAAGATAGAGATCAATGAGTGTAAGTGTCTCATTCATATATTCCTCTGCACTGATTTACAGTACTAGGGGATATGCTCAGATTACATTACTAGAGCTCGTAACTAGTAACATGTATTTGACTTATTAATGGTACTGCTATACGGACTGGAGAGAAATGCCATCATATGTGATTCTGTAAGCTTATATAGTCCATCTTCTTTTTCCACAGATGCTCCATGTTTTTGACAAACTCCCAGGATTTAAAGAGATCAGTGTTTTGGGAATCAGGTAAGTCTGTGGCAGACATGAATAATCACATCTGATGCCTTCGTGCTTAATTCTGACATTTTGGTGAGCAAATTAAATGGCAATAGATTAGGTGAGACAGATGAAAGCCAGGTGCAAGCTTGGAACCCTGCCAGTTTATTTAATCGGACCTTATTAACTAAGTGTTGATTTGGCGTGGACACTGATTCATTTGTATACAAAACTAGCTCATTCCCACCTAGGTGAAATTCTGTAAAATGCCAGGAACAGAAAATATTTGAGTGCTGCAGACTGTGCTCTTGGCTATGCTGACTGTAGTAAGAATACTTGTGTCATTAGTGTGACCCACATGCATGCAAAAAAATACACCTTTCCTGTGTGTTAACACTGAAGGCCATTATATCTTTACATTCAAATGCAAAATAATACATGTCAAGCACAGGTGGCTGGTGAGGGGAAGACGGCTCATAATAATGGCTGGAATGGAGTGAATGGAATGGCATCAAACACATGGAAACCATGTGTTTGATGTGTTTGATACCATTCAATAATTATATTCCAGCCATTACTGTGAGCCCATCCTCCTCAATTAAGGTGCCACCAGCTGCCTGTGGTGTCAAGTGACACCCTGTGATGTCATGACACTCGACCAGCAATGACTGATGTTCTATTTCCTTGTAGATGACATGCCATTATATCACATACTAATGGCCTCTTTTTTTCCCCTGTCCAAATCCTAGTGAGACCCAGGAGAGTGACGGGTAATTGAATTACTGTGATGAGAGCCATCTTGAGCGGTAGCTGCTGTTTCCCTCTGTGTGTCTGTGCTTGTCCCTGTCCGTCTGCTGCTCCGCTCTGAGTTTATCTGGATCTAACACAGGGCCCAAGGAGAGAGGGATCACATAACCTAAACAAACAGCAGCTCGGCTCTTTGTGCAGCTGGGTCAATACATCAACCAGTGACACTGTTGAGAAATGAGGACTCAAATCAGCTGAAACTGGGCATACATCCCTTCTGTATCTCATTGAAAGTTAACATGGGACATATGCTTCTTTAAATCTTTCTGAAAGGGTGTTAATGCTCCTGTCTTCTTCATTTTAGGATGGAAGGAAATTAAGCAGTGCAATAAAAAGCCCTTTGTGAATAGAATAATTGCCGAATTGCTCCCTTCCCTAATTTGCGGGCCCCATGGTGGCCAGTGCTGTCCCAGGCAATAACATCCTTGAGCCTGCTCCACTAATCTGATAAAGGATTCACAACTAATTCGACCTTTGTCTGTGTCTTTAATATTTACAAAAACAAAATGGAAAGAAATCCACCATTGATGGTATCATTACTATTCTAATCAAAATTCCATTGAACTAATCTGTTTGTCCTCCGGCTTCTCTATGACAGAGCTGAATATTGAATACAGCAATGTTTAATCTCCAAATCTTAAACCTGGCAGGGGATTGCTGTGTTTTTAGTTTATGTAGTTAATTGCTTATAGCTTTTCTAGATCTGTATAATATAGTGCTATTTTCTTCTCTCATACAATATATTCTTATTTTTCAGACCTGGAGGAGTGACAGTGCACTATTCCCTGGTCTTTGAGAGAATTTCAACAGAAGTTTCAGAGGATGACACAGGGACTCCAGCGTCAGCTGTGCCCAGCCTGCGGGAAATGGTTGCCAAGGCTTTGAGTGAAGAGGCCTCTCTACCAGTGGATCTACAGTCATTAAACTTTGAACCAGGTAGCCAAATCACTGTGAATAAGTTATGTTATATTTGTGAAAGACATGATTTTGCATCATTTTTGTACCTCTTTCCACAGTAAAAGTGATTCCACTAACTACAACACCTGTTGAGGAAGCTGTTGAGGAAGTGATTGAATATGTAAGTACTGGAATTTGAATCTAGACTACCTAAGGTGAAATACCAAACCTTGGAAATATGCATCAACACACTTTTTTTGTCTTTTCCATCAACAGTCCAGTGAGCCATCAATCCACAATGACCTGGAAATAGCCACAGATGAGCCAGAGATTGCTGGGGAGAAGCCTCGTCTGGATGTTCCACTTGGCCCTGTGGAAAAGGAAAATGCTCTCGTCACCCTCCTGGACTCTACAGACATTCCAGATGATGAAGAAGAAGAAGTAAAAGAAGAAGAAGATGCACCACCAGAGAGAGGGGATGTGCCCTACATCTACGAGGATACTAGTGATGAATTTGTGGACATTGATGAGAGTGAGTCTGAAGCAACAACTGAACCAGAGGAAGAGGTGCCATTTATCACACACATGATTGAAACCATCCATGCCATTGATGAGGGAACTGGTGAGCTTGTGAGAGACTATTTCCCATCCCCTCCTGCTGAGGATTCTGCTGCTGAGCCCAGCATTCCAGAGGAATACCCTGAGCCACCTTTTGGCAATTTAGTCCCTACTAATGGGTACCCTGTCTTACCCCCTGAGGATTTGGATATTACCTTCGTTCCTGAAATAGAAAGTATAGAAACTGAAGCTCCAGTTGAACTCCCTCCTAACTTGATATCAGAGGAGAAGGCTGTTGTTGAGGAGGAGGCTGAGCCTACTCCAACCCCTCAGATTCTGCTCACCACATCCACAGCCACTGAAGAAGAGCCGTCTGACCCTGGATTACATGTAACGACTCTCTCAGCCATCACAGATCAGCCTATCGCTGAAGCAATAGAGGACCTTGAAGTTGAGGAGAATCTTATTCCGATTGAAGAGGAAGAGGTTGAGGAACCAGAACCAGAACCTGAGGAAGAGGTAGTCGAGATCTCAGGACCTGAGGAAGAGGTAGTTGTGGAATCAGAGGAAGATGTAGTTGTGGAACCTGAGGAAGAGGTAGTTGTGGAACCAGAGGAAGAGGTAGTTGAGGAACCAGAACCTGAGGAAGAGGTAGTTGAGGTCTCGGAACCTGAAGAAGAGGTAGTTGAGGTCTTAGAACCTGAGGAAGAGGTAGTTGAGATCTCGGAACCTAAGGAAGTGGTCGTTGTGGAATCAGAGGAAGAGGTAGTTGTGGAACCAGAGGAAGAGATAGTTGAGGAACCAGAACTTGAGGAAGAGGTAGTTGATGAACCAGAACCTGAGGAAGAGGTAGTTGAGGAACCAGAAACTAAGGAAGAGGTAGTTGAGGAACCAGAACCTGAGGAAGAGGTAGTTGAGCAACCAGAGGAAGAGGTAGTTGAGGTCTCGGAACCTGAGGAAGAGGTAGTTGAGGTCTCAGAACCTCAGGAAGAGGTAGTTGAGGAACCAGAGCCTGAAGAGGGGGTAGTTGAGGTCTCAGAACTTGAGGAAGAGGTAGTTGAGGAACTAGAGTCTGAGGAAGAGGTAGGTGAGGAACCAGAGCATGAGGAAGCGGTAGTTGAGGAACCAGAACCTGAGGAAGAGGTAGTTGAGCAACCAGAGGAAGAGGTAGTTGAGGTCTCGGAACCTGAGGAAGAGGTAGTTGAGGTCTCGGAACCTCAGGAAGAGGTAGTTGAGGAACAAGAGCCTGAAGAGGGGGTAGTTGAGGTCTCAGAACTTGAGGAAGAGGTAGTTGAGGAACTAGAGTCTGAGGAAGAGGTAGGTGAGGAACCAGAGCATGAGGAAGCGGTAGTTGAGGAACCAGAGCCTGAGGAAGAGGTAGAGGGGGAACCAGAGCCTGAGGAGGGGGTAGTTGAGGTCTTAGAACCTGAGGAAGAGGTAGTTGAGGTCTTGGAACCTGAGGAAGAGGTAGTTGAGGAACCAGAACCTGAGGAAGAGGTAGTAGAGGAACCACAGCCTGAGGAAGAGATAGTTGAGGAACCAGAAACTGAGGAAGAGGTAGTTGAGGAACCAGAACCTGAGGAAGAGGTAGTTGAGCAACCAGAGAAAGAGGTAGTTGAGGTCTCAGAACCTGAGGAAGAGGTAGTTAAGGTCTCAGAACCTGAGGAAGTGGTAGTTGAGGTCTTAGAACCTGAGGAAGAGGTAGTTGAGATCTCGGAACCTAAGGAAGTGGTCGTTGTGGAATCAGAGGAAGAGGTAGTTGTGGAACCAGAGGAAGAGGTAGTTGAGGAACCAGAACCTGAGGAAGAGGTAGTTGATGAACCAGAACCTGAGGAAGAGGTAGTTGAGGAACCAGAAACTGAGGAAGAGGTAGTTGAGGAACCAGAACCTGAGGAAGAGGTAGTTGAGCAACCAGAGGAAGAGGTAGTTGAGGTCTCGGAACCTGAGGAAGAGGTAGTTGAGGTCTCGGAACCTCAGGAAGAGGTAGTTGAGGAACCAGAGCCTGAAGAGGGGGGAGTTGAGGTCTCGGAACTTGAGGAAGAGGTAGTTGAGGAACTAGAGTCTGAGGAAGAGGTAGGTGAGGAACCAGAGCATGAGGAAGTGGTAGTTGAGGAACCAGAGCCTGAGGAAGAGGTAGAGGGGGAACCAGAGCCTGAGGAAGAGGTAGAGGGGGAACCAGAGCCTGAGGAGGGGGTAGTTGAGGTCTTGGAACCTGAGGAAGAGGTAGTTGAGGTCTTGGAACCTGAGGAAGAGGTAGTTGAGGAACCAGAACCTGAGGAAGAGGTAGTTGAGGAACCACAGCCCGAGGAAGAGATAGTTGAAGTATCGGAACCTGAGGAAGAGGTAGTTGAGGTCTTGAAACCTGAGGAAGAGGTAGTTGTTGAACCTGAGGAAGAGGTAGTTGATGAACCAGAACCTGAGGAAGAGGTAGTTGTGGAACCTGAGGAAGAGGTAGTTGATGAACCAGAACCTGAGGAAGAGGTAGTTGAGGAACCAGAACCTGAGGAAGAGGTAGTTGAGGAACCAGAACCTGAGGAAGAGGTAGTTGAGGAACTTGAGGACGAGGTACTTGTGGAACCTGAGGAAGAGGTAGTTGTGGAACCTGAGGAAGAGGTAGTTGATGAACCAGAACCTGAGGAAGAGGTAGCTGAGGAACCAGAACCTGAGGAAGATGTTAGTGAACCACCAGCAGAAGAAATTAAAATCATCCAACCTGTGGATTCTGTAGAGGACACTCTCTTTGGAGAGGAAACTGATCCTGTTGAAGAGGACAATATTGTGCCAATAGAAGACCAGTCACCTGAGGAGGACATGGAGGAACAGTTGCCTGAATACCCCAGATATGAGGACATCTACCCTGAAGAAGCTGTTGATACTTTGGAAGAATCAGGTGAGCAATGCAGGTTATTAAAGCTGTTCTAGCCCTGTAAAGGACGACAACACGCAGATATAATGACAAATTAAAAGCAATACATGTCTTTGATAGAGGTGTGCAGTTGCATTACAGCTAATAATTAGAGTCCGGCCCAGGGAGGAGATATATTAATGGTCTTTATTTGGACTGAGTGCTGTGCTGCCTGATGATGAATGAACTGTAATGTGGTGTTTATCATTTCGTACGTGATAAATAAAAGGCTTTTGATAATTCATTTGTTACATTTTAACAATTTAGCAGACGCTCTCATCCAGAGCACTTACAGTAGCGAGTGCATACATTTCGTACTTTTTTACGTATTGGTCCCCTGTGGGAATCAACCCCACAAACCTTGCGTTGCAAGCGCCATGCTCTACCAACTGAGCCACACGGGACTTACCAATGGTTACACCGCTGAGAGATACTGTACTTAATCAAACAATGCAGATTGATTTTTTATAAAATAAATCTGAAGGAAAATTATTCACAGCAGGGCCCTGGCAAAAGGTCTCGCCTGGAACAGTTTCATCCCTGCAGCCATGTAGGGAAGGAAACTGCACATTCAGTATAAATTAGGATAATGTATTATGTATTGAATAGTTGGAAGGCATTTGCAGTATGGGTAAAACACACTTGTTATGGTTTGGGACTAATTGAAATATCCTCTCCTGTTTCAAAGATCATTCACCAGAGGACAGTGATGTGGAAGAGGCTGCATTGCCAGAGGTCAGTGAAGTGGAGATAGCAGTGACATCAGAACCCATCCCAGACTCTACACCAACACCACCTGCAGAATCTGACACTGTGCCTGAGGTACATGTAAAAGAGTCCGCTTCAGAGTTAGAGCCTATGGAGGAGGATGCTGAGGAGCCTGAGGTGGTTGTTATCGATGAAGAGGAGGCTGAAGAGGAGGTCATGGATGGCTCAGAACCTGAGGATGAGAGCATGCAAGACCTTGCAGACGAACTTGACCAAATGGACCTGGTGAGCACAGAGGCCATTGACCTTCCAGAGGCCAGTGGATACCCATTGGCTCCCAAAGAGCACCCCTTCGAGACCACAGCGTCTCCACCACTGAGATACCTGACCACGCCCTCCATGACCACGGCCAGTAAGGGAAGGGAGCTGGTGGTGTTCTTCAGTCTACGGGTCACCAACATGAGGTTCTCAGATGACCTCTTCAACAAGAGCTCTTCAGAATACAGATCCCTGGAGAACACCTTTGTGGAGCTGGTGAGTGAGAATGAAATATGTTCATAAAGAGATGAGTGACAGCATTTCTTTGTTGCACTGCAGCAGGCAACTGAACCCAATGTCATAAGATTAAAACAGGATACTGCCCACCCAAGTGAGGGAAGGAAGAGGATAGGAAGTAGGCCAGACATGAAAAGAAGTCAGGCAGAAATCATTCTCTGATTATTTAGACTAAATTGATGTGCAACAGAGGAACACTTTGTTTCACTCTTTATATCGCTGACTGGTGTCTTTCAGGTCCTTATTACTAGGCAAAGGTGCTGTATAGGCCCATATACATTGACTTATCACTGACAAATGACGTAGAAAGGAGAAACTGCTTTACACCGATTACAGTCTAATCCTTTAAATTTATTTCACAAGGTGGAAAAAAAGTGTATTGTGTTGCCTATTTCAAAAGGACATTAGATGGAGGATGGTTATTACAACCTGGTTGCTAACTTGCAAACATTTTCTTAAAGCGTTTGCTTCACAGTCTGTTTGTTGTTGTTTAAAGGTCCAATGCAGCCGTTTTTATCTCAATATCAAATCATTTCTGGGTAACAATTAAGTACCTTACTGTGATTGTTTTCAATTAAAATGGTCAAAAAGAAACACAAATAGCTTCTTAGCAATGAGAAATGTCTTAGTTTGGTACTCTCTTTCTTATTGGTCTATTACTCCACCCCACCAAAACAGGCTGAAGTTTCAGGCAGTCTTTTCAAAAAGCTCTTACACTAAAAGGACATTATCATAATTTTCACAATTTACAGTATACAAAACACAGGAAAATCACGTTTTTGACTGCGCTGGGCCTTTAAGTGATTAGATTTAATCATTTAGATGAATGTACTGTGCTCTCACTTATGGCTCTCAGCTTAATTAATGCTGAAAACAGCCTGACCTGCGCTGGAACAAAACTAACATTCTGATATACTGTAGCTTCAATTCAGCTGGTTTTAATGGACTATTTTTGAGTGACATCCTATTCAAAGCCCAGTGTTCTGCATGATTCCTTTGTCTTCTGACTAAACTGACATGCCTGCTTCAACATTGACTTAATTTAGCAATAAGTCATAAGATGGTAGATTCAGCTTTCAGAATAAGGTACAGTGAGGGAAAAAAGAATTTGATCCCCTGCTGATTTTGTACGTTTGCCCACTGACAAAGAAATGATCAGTCTATAATTTTAATGGTAGATTTATTTGAACAGTGAGAGACAGAATAACAACCAAAAAATCCAGAAAAACGCATGTAACATTTTTTATAAATTCATTTGCATTTTAAAAAATCAGCAGGGGATCAAATACTTTTTTCCCTCACTGTACATTGAAATAATACAGCTGATGGGTATGTTGTTTGTGACAGTATAGGTCTAGTTACCCTTTCTTCACCTTTCTATTGAGCTTGATGGTTGGGTGTACTGTATCATCAACAGGTGATTTAGATTGATTAGATTTACTTATGCACAGAAGTAGATTCATTTGTCTCACATCCACGCTGAAACAAATGCAACGTTCCCTCGCAGTATACAGAGCAATGACTTAGCTTACAGCTAATAAGCTGAAGAAGATGAGGGGTGTGTTGAGAACAGGACACTTTGACACTGCTCTGGTTCCTTTTGATGTGATAAGATGTGGGCTGAAATACAACACGAAGATGTAGATAGAGAGAGAGATTAAATGTTTCATATTTTAGACCTTTTGTTTGTAATATTTTTTGCTGTTATTGATTTGCTGTCATTGACCCAATAGCCTCATCACTAAACGCATGCTGCTAACCCCTCAGACTCTCCACATGTGCAAACTCCAATGGAATAGCTTGTTTGGGCTCATATCAGGCTTCAAAATGACACTTTTGTAAATAAGAAGGGCCAGTGGCCAGACTCTCTAGTCCTGTTTATACCTGGTTCCTGATCTTATCTACATTCTGATTGTGCCCACATTTTTAGACAGGTGTAGACAATCAGAAGACACATTGTGATCTGATTGTGATCTTCCTGACCACCTCCGGAGGTAGTCAGGCACGCATTGTGTCTGGATATCTTACAAGTGTAGACGGAGCTGGACAGTGAAATCATTTAAATCATAATTAAACCACCCTCTAAAATCATTGACAGGTGGCAATATTGACTTATGGCATCAATATGTGTCAAAATAAATATTACTTTAAAAGAATATCTGTCAAATAACTTAGATACAAGGAGGGACCAGGAAATCTAGTCGCAATGAGGACACAGAGGATGGAAAAATCTGTCGATGTGCCCTTGAGCAAGGCACTTAACCCTAATTGCTCCTGTAAGTCGCTCTGGATAAGAGCGTCTGCTAAATCACTAAAATGTAAATGTAAATAAGAGATACATTTTAATACCATGTGTAGACGCATGTCTGAAAATGTGGGCACAATCAGAATGAGGACAAGATCAACACACAGGACACATTAGAGCCAGGTATAAACAAAGCTTCTGAGAAGTTAATGGATTTGAAATGCCAACTCATTGTGACTAAAACGGAATTGGAAGAGGCTAGGTTATTAGATGATAAAGGAGAGTGTAGGCGTAGATAGATGTACAGTTGCTTGCGAAAGTATTCACCCCCTTGGCATTTTTCCTATTTTGTAGCCTTACAACCTGGAATTCAAATGGTTATTTTGGAGGTTTGTATCATTTGATTTACACAACGTGCCTACCACTTTGAAGATGCAAAATATTAGTTTTTGTGAAACAAACAAGAAATAAGACAGAAAAACAGAAGACTTGAGTGTGCATAACTATTTGACTAGGCCATTCCAAGACATTTAAATGTTTCCCCTTAAACCACTTGAGTGTCGCTTTAGCAGTATGCTTAGGGTCATTGTCCTGCTGGATGGTGCCGCTTTCTTGGTGGTGCCCCTTGCTTAGTGGTGTTGCAGGCTCTGGGGCCTTTCAGAACAAGTGTATATATATACTGAGATCATGTGACACTTAGATTGCACACAGGTGGACTTTATTTAACTAATTATGTGACTTCTGAAGGTAATCGGTTGCACCAGATCTTATTTAGGGGCTTCATAGCAAAGGGGGTGAATACATATGCAGAATTTTTTGTAACAAGTTATTTTTTCATTTCACTTCTCCAATTTGGACTATTTTGTGTATGTCCATTACATGAAATCCAAATAAAAATCCAATTAAATTACAAGTTGTAATGCAACAAAATAGGTAAAACGCCAAAGGGGATGAATACGTTAGCAAGGCACTGTATATTGGCACAGAGTGACCCTTTATATGGTACTTCCTATATGGTACTACAAAACAAATCAGTGTTTTACTTTACTGGAGCAATAGAGCCCCACAGTGGAGGTGTCATAATACCCATAAAACGGGTGGTCAAACAGGGAAATGGTTCCAATCGTTTTTTCACCATTTATTTTTCTCATAGGGGATTTTAGAAATGTGACGTTTGATAACCGTGTAAATCTGTCTAGGACAACGTGACTTTTATCAATATATTCGACTCTATATTTACTCTCAGATTCGAAAATGTTAATTGACATCAAATCCCTGTAAGCCCCTGCACGTCATCTCTAGCTGACACCTTTGCTAACAGGTATTGTGTCAATTTAAAAGTTGCACAAGACAGTTCAAAGGATTGTCCATTTAAATGTTTCCATTTATTAATTACTACATTTAGCTAACATTAGAGAGTTAATCCAGAGATGTTACATTTGCCTTGATTCGGCAGTCTCGTCCAGAGATCATCATGGCATTTGCAGTTCTTTATGATAGCTACATTAGCAGCTAATTCGCATTTCATTATTATTATTATTATTATTATGAAAAAAAAAAAAATTGGGTAATACAGGCGAATACAGTGCATTCGGAAAGTATTCAGACCCCTTCTCTTTTTAAACATTTTGTTATGTTACAGCCTTATTCTAAAATTGATTACATTTAATTTTATCCTCATCGATCTACACACAATACCCCATAATGACAAAGAGAAAACTGGTTTTTAGACATTTTTGCAAATGTATTAAAAATAAAAAACAGAAATACCTTATTTTCATAAGTATTCAGCCCCTTTGATATGAGACTCGATATTGAGCTCAGGTGCATCCTGTTTCCAATGATCATCCTTGAGATGTTTCTACAACTTGATTGGAGTTGATTTGGAAAGACACACATCTGTCTATATAAGGTCCCACAGTTGACAGTGCATGTCAAAGCAAAAACCAAGCCATGAGGTCGAAGGAATTGCCGTAGAGCTCCAAGACAGGGTTGTGTTGAGGCACAGATCTGGGGAGGGGTACCAAAAAATGTCTGCAGCATTGAAGGTCCCCAATAACACAGTGGCCTCCATCATTCTTAAATGGAAGAAGTTTGGAACCACCAAGACTCTTCCTAGAGCTGGCCGCCCGGTCAAACTGAGCAATCGGGAGAGAAGGGCCTTGGTCAGGGAGGTGACCAATAACCTGATGGTCACTCTGACAGAGCTCCAGAGTTCCTCTGTGGTGATTGGAGAACCTTCCAGAAGGACAACCATCTCTGCAGCACTCCACCAATCAGGCATTTATGGTAGAGTGGCCAGGCGGAAGCCACTCCTCTGTAAAAGGCACATGACAGCCCGCTTGGAGTTTGCCAAAAGACACCTAAAGGACTCTGACCATGAGAAACAAGATTATCTGGTCTGATGAAACCAAGATTGGAACTCTTTGGCCTGAATGCCAAGCGTCACGTCTGGAGGAAACCTGACAGAGCTTGAGAGGATCTGCAGAGAAGAATGGGAGAAACTCCTCAAATACAGGTGTGCCAAGCTTGTAGCGTCATTCCAAATAAAACTTGAGGTTGTAATTGCAGCCAAAGGTGCTTCAACAAAGTACTGAGTAAAGGGTCTGAATACTTATGTAAATGTGATATTTCAGTTGTTGGTCAAAAACTATTTTTGCTTTGTCATTATGGGGTATTGTGTGTAGATTGATAAGGAGAAAAAACAATTTAATCAATTTTAGAATACGGCTGTAACGTAACAAAATGTGGAAAAAGTCAAAGGGTCTGAATCCTTTTCCCGAATGCACTGATAAAAGTCACCTTGTCCTAGAGAGATTTACACGGTTAACAAAACTTCACACCAGGGTAAGCCTACACGAAACACAGCCCTTATTTTAAGTGCTTCTAAAATCCCATATGGGAAAAATGAATGGTGGAAAAACGATTGGAACCATTTCCCTGTTTGACCACTAGGTTTTATGGGTATTATGACTCATACTGTGGTACTCTATGCGACCAATTATGTTCAGCCCTAGGCCCACAGAGAAACAAGGTAGCTGTTGTTTTTCAATTTGAGTCAGATTCCCAGCTATGCAAGTATGTACAGTAGGTAACCTTTGAAGGGTTTCCTTGCTTGAGGATATGTATTTCTAAAGATTTGGCACTTCACTCACAATCTGTGCATACTTCACATATAATTGCAGAGAGTAGGCGATGCTCTAAAATGGTAGCTTTGAATCACTTTGACAAAACCAATGAATAATAAAAAAATGTAAGGAAGATTCCTGTGCTGACTGCAACATTCTGATGAACTATGAAGCCTTGAGAGCTCTCCCAGTATCAAAGCTGTCCATTGCTGTCCTCAGTTGCTTCCTAATGAGCAACAACTGATCAATGTGTTGCCTCCCAGTAACGGTTCTACATTTTTCAATATTTCCAATTTAAAGAAATAACTCAAGGCAAAGTTTGTTTCCTCCTAACTTCTGTCATCTATGGCATGCTCAGGATTCGAGCAATTACATACTTTTTAAAGCTAGAATCCTTAGTTACTACATAGTTTTTTGGACTTAAAAATGTATGATATATAGCCATTGATTCTTGAAGAATATAACTTATAAATGCCTCATCAGCTTAGTTCAATTGTCGTACCCCTTCAGAACCCCAAATATAAGCTTGTTTTACTCCAATGTTTTGGAACAATGTACATATAAACACTTTATGGCCTAAAAAATTGTTAAAACAATAATTTTGATATCATGGATGGTCAGTCCTTGCATCCATAGCTCTGTCTATGAATTTGAGTGGTTACATTTCTTCAGGCCCATCCCTCAGCTTTTTACCAAAACAGAGGTGGGGTGCCCACTTTGTTATTGTTTCAATTAAGGACTCTAGCTTTAAGGGTTTCTTCAACTCAGAGGAAAGGTACTGGCTGAGATCTGGTAATATTATATTAGCACTTTTCATAGCTTTGAATAAATGGGACACCGTCACTCCGGGTGCAAGTGGAGGATTTGAGTATCAGGGCTTTGTCACTACAATAGTGTATAAAGACCTCTGGTGTAGTGGGTAGAACTCTTTGAACTACTGCACGGTAATTACAGACAGTGATTAAATGTAATCGTTATTAGAAAGTAATCTAAATAAAGCAAAAGTCAATAATCTCTTACCATGCTTAAGAGGACAAAGTAAAACACATTGGAAACAGAAATATTTTAAATATCAATTGTTGCTGAATTTCCTCTTCACTTCAGTTTGCTCCTCAATTCATGCATCTTGGTTGGAGAGCGAGTTAGCGGCAGTGTTCCCTTTGGATTGAAATTGATTAGTCTGAACACAATATAGTCATTTGAAGCTGCTTACCACTTTTCTCTCCTCTGTCCAGCTGCTGCCTTACCTGCAGTCCAATCTAACAGGATTCAAAAAGCTGGAGATTCTCAACTTCAGGAACGGCAGCATTGTGGTCAACAGCAAGATGAAGTTCTCCAAGTCAGTGCCATACAACGTGACCCAGGCCGTCCACTGTGTCCTAGAAGACTTTTGCAATGCTGCTGCCATGCGCCTCAACATTGAGATTGACAGTCACTCTCTGGACATAGAGCCGGGTATGAGACGAGGCCCCAAATGGCACTCTATTCCCTATATATGCACTACTTTTGACCAGAGCCCTATGAGGTCATTTTAATAGTGACATTTACAGAGTATGAAATACATAATAAATATACAATAGTAACAGTCTAACGAATCAAAACATGATTTGCATGGAAAATACTACAGCTATAAAGAATAAAACACTAATGTAGACTGTAAGTTGGGTAGAGAGCAGGGGCGTCATGCACCCCGAAAATATGAAGGGGCACAAAGTATGTGAGGATGGCTGGGGGGTGGGCCAGAGGGAGGCTGGCTGTCTGGAAGTTGGAGAATTTTGCATTTTTCAAACACCTGAAACAACTTTTTCCAGCAATCTAGAGCAATAATCATTATGCTTAATTCTATGTAAAATATACAGAACCAGTCAAAGTTTGGACACATCTACTCATTATTTTTACTATTTTCTACATTGTAGAATAATAGTGAAGACATCAAAACTATGAAATAACACATCATGTATTAACCAAAAAAGAGTTAAACAAATCCAAATATATTTTAGATTTTAGATTCTTCAAAAGTAGCCACCCTTTGCCTTGATGACAGTTTTGCACACTCTTGGCATTCTCTCAACCAGCTTCACCTGGAATTATTTTCCAACAGTCTTGAAGGAGTTCCCACATATGCTGAGCACTTGTTGGCTGCTTTTCCTTCACTCTGCGGTCCAACTCATCCCAAACCATCTCAATTGGGTTGAGGTCGGGTGATTGTGGAGGCCAGGTCATCTGATGCAGCACTCCATCACTCTCCTTCTTGGTAAAATAGCCCTTACACAGCCTGGAGGTGTGTTAGGTCATTGTCCTGTTGAAAAACAAATGATAGTCCCACTAAGCCCAAACCAGATGGGATGGCGTATCGCTGCAGAATGCTGTGGTAGCCTTGCTGGTTAAGTGTGCCTTGAATTCTAAATAAGTCACTGACAGTGTCACCAGCAAAGCACCCCCACACCATCACACCTCCTCCTACATGCTTTACGGTAGGAACCACACATGCAGAGATCATCCGTTCACCTACTCTGCGTCTCACAAAGACACAGCGGTTCGAACCCAAAATCTCAAATTTGGACTCATCAGACAAAAGGACAGATTTTTTGGGCCGCAATCTGAGGTGTAGTTAACTCTAATGAACTTATCCTCTGCAGCAGAGGTAACTCTGGGTCTTCCTTTCCTGTGGTGGTCCTCATGAGAGCCAGTTTCATCATAGCGCTTGGTTTTTGCGACTACACTTGAAGAAACGTTCAAAGTTCTTGAAATGTTCAGGATTGACTGACCTTCATGTCTTAAAGTAATGATGGACTGTCGTTTCTCTTTGCTTATTTGAGCTGTTCTTGCCATAATATGGATTTGGTCTTTTACCAAATAGGGCTATCATCTGTATACATTTACATTTACGTCATTTAGCAGACGCTCTTATCCAGAGCGACTTACAGTTAGTGCATACATTATTCTTTCACAACACAACTGATTGGCTCAAACACATTAAGAAGGAAATTTACTTTTAACAAGGCACACCTGTTAATTTAAATGCATTCCAGGTGACTACCTCATGAAGCTGGTTGAGAGAATGCCAAGCGTGTGCAAAGCTGTCATCAAGGCAAAGGGTGGTTACTTTGAAGAATCTCAAATATAAAATATATTTTGATTTGTTTAACACTTTTTCTGTTACTACATGATTCCATATGTGTTATTTCATAGTTTTGATGTCTTCACTATTATTCTACAATGTAGAAAATAGTAAAAATAAAGAAAAACCCTTGAATGAGTAGGTGTGTCCAAACTTTTGACTGGTGCTGTGTGTGTATATATATATATATATATATATATATATATATATATATATATATATATATATATATATATATATATATATATATAATACACTGCTCAAAAAAATTAAGGGAACACTAAAATAACACATCCTAGATCTGAATGAATGAAATAATCTTATTAAATACTTTTTTCTTTACATAGTTGAATGTGCTGACAACAAAATCACACAAAAATAATCAATGGAAATCAAATTTATCAACCCATGGAGGTCTGGATTTGGAGTCACCCTCAAAATGAAAGTGGAAAACCACACTACAGGCTGATCCAACTTTGATGTAATGTCCTTAAAACAAGTCAAAATGAGGCTCAGTAGTGTGTGTGGCCTCCACGTGCCTGTATGACCTCCCTACAACGCCTGGGCATGCTCCTGATGAGGTGGCGGATGGTCTCCTGAGGGATCTCCTCCCAGACCTGGACTAAAGCATCTGCCAACTCCTGGACAGTCTGTGGTGCAATTTGGCGTTGGTGGATGGAGCGAGACATGATGTCCCAGATGTTCTCAATTGGATTCAGGTCTGGGGAACGGGCGGGCCAGTCCATAGCATCAATGCCTTCCTCTTGCAGGAACTGCTGACACACTCCAGCCACATGAGGTCTAACATTGTCTTGCATTAGGAGGAACCCAGGGCCAACCGCACCAGCATATGGGCTCACAAGGGGTCTGAGGATCTCATCTCGGTACCTAATGGCAGTCAGGCTACCTCTGGCGAGCACATGGAGGGCTGTGCGGCCCCCCAAAGAAATGCCACACCACACCATGACTGACCCACCGCCAAACCGGTCATGCTGGAGGATGTTGCAGGCAGCAGAACGTTCTCCACGGCGTCTCCAGACTCTGTCACATCTGTCACGTGCTCAGTGTGAACCTGCTTTCATCTGTGAAGAGCACAGGGCGCCAGTGGCGAATTTGCCAATCTTGGTGTTCTCTGGCAAATGCCAAATGTCCTGCACGGTGTTGGGCTGTAAGCACAACCCCCACCTGTGGACGTCGGGCCCTCATACCACCCTCATGGAGTCTGTTTCTGACCGTTTGAGCAGACACATGCACATTTGTGGCCTGCTGGAGGTCATTTTGCAGGGCTCTCGCAGTGCTCCTCCTGCTCCTCCTTGCACAAAGGCGGAGGTAGCAGTCCTGCTGCTGGGTTGTTGCCCTCCTACGGCCTCCTCCACGTCTCCTGATGTACTGGCCTGTCTCCTGGTAGCGCCTCCATGCTCTGGACACTACGCTGACAGACACAGCAAACCTTCTTGCCACAGCTCGCATTGATGTGCCATCCTGGATGAGCTGCACTACCTGAGCCACTTGTGTGGGTTGTAGACTCCGTCTCATGTTACCACTAGAGTGAAAGCACCGCCAGCATTCAAAAGTGACCAAAACATCAGCCAGGAAGCATAGGAACTGAGAAGTGGTCTGTGGTCACCACTTGCAAAACCAGTCCTTTATTGGGGGTGTCTTGCTAATTGCCTATCATTTCCACCTGTTGTCTATTCCATTTGCACAACAGCATGTGAAATGTATTGTCAATCAGTGTTGCTTCCTAAGTGGACAGTTTGATTTCACAGAAGTGTGATTGACTTGGAGTTACATTGTGTTGTTTAAGTGTTCCCTTTATTTTTTGGAGCAGTGTGTGTGTATATATATATATATATATATATATTGCATTCGGAAAGTATTCGGACCCCTTGAATTTTTCCACATTTTGTTACGTTACAGCCGTATTCTAAAACTGCTGAAATAAAAAAAATATTCTCATCAGTCTACACAGTCAATACCCCATAATGACAAAGCGAAAACAGTTTATTTTTTGTTGTTGCACATTTATAAAAATAAAAAACAGAAGTACCTTATTTATAGAAGTATTCAGCCCCTTTGCTATGAGGCTCGAAATTCAGCTCAGGTACATTGATCATCCTTGAGATGTTTCTACAACTTGTTTTGAGTCCACCTATGGTAAATTCAATTGATTGGACATGATTTGGAAAGGCACACCTGTCTATGTAAGGCCCCACCATCGACAGTGCATAACAGAGCAAAAACCAAGACATCGAAGAAATTGTCCGTAGAGCTCAGAGACAGGATTGTGTCTAGGCACAGATCTGGGGAAGGGTACCAAAACATTTCTGCAGCATTGAAGGTCCCCAAGAGCATAGTGGCCTCCATCATTCTTAAATGGAAGAAGTTTGGAACCACCAAGACTCTTCCTAGAGCTGGCCGCCCGGCCAAACTGAGCAATCGGGGGAGAAGGGCCTTGGTCAGGGAGGTGACCAAGAACCCGATGGTCACTCTGACAGAGCTCCAGAGTACCTCTGTGGAGATAGGATAACCTTCCAGAAGGACAACCATCTCTGCAGCACTCCACCAATCAGGCCTTTATGGTAGAGTGGCCAGACGGAAGCCACTCCTCAGTAAAAGGCACATGACAGGCCGCTTGGAGTTTGCCAAAAGGCACCTAAAGACTCTCAGACCATGAGAAACAAGATTGTCTGGTCTGATGAAACCACAATTGAACTCTTTGGCCTGAATGCCAAGCATCACTGGAGGAAATCTGGCACCATCCCTACGGTGAAGCATGGTGGTGACAGCATCATGCTGTGGGGATGTTTTTCAGCGGCAGGGACTGGGAGACAAGTCAGGATTGAGGGAAAGATGAACGGAGCAATGTACAGAGAGATCCTTGATGAAAACCTGCTCCAGAGCGCTCAGGACCTCAGACTGGGGCGAAGGTTCACCTTCCAACAGGACAACGACCCTAAGCAAACAGCCAAGACAAGTAGCTTCGGGTCAAGTCTCTGAATGTCCTTGAGTGGCCCAGCCAGAACCCGGACTTGAACCCGATCGAACATCTCTGGAGAGACCTGAAAATAGCTGTGCAGCGACACTCCCCATCCAACCTGACAGAGCTTGAGAGGATCTGCAGAGAAGAATGGGAGAAACTCCCCAAATACAGCTGTGCCAAGCTTGTAGCGTCATACCCAAGAAGACTCGAGGCTGTAATTGCTGCCAAAGGTGCTTCAACAAAGTACTGAGTAAAGGGTCTGAATACTTATGTAAATGTGATATTTCAGCTTTTTCTTCTGTATATATATATATACAAATAAATATAAATCTTCTAACAACCAGTTTTTGCTTTGTCATTATGTGTTATTGTGTGTAGATTGATGAGGGGGAAAAAACAATTGAATCCATTTGAGAATAAGGTTGTAACGTAACAAAATGTGGAAAAAGTGAAGAGGTCTGAATAATTTCCGAATGCACTGTACATACATATTTTTAAACAGGACAGATCTGAGAGGACACGTGCCCCTGTGCCCCCTATTGGTGTAAAATCCATCTAGTGTCATGCTTTGTCTGGGCCATCAATATTCAACTTTTCACTAGCTAATATGCTAAACCTTAAAATTCCATGCAGAGAAGAAGCCGAGAAGGACCTACCTCATTAAAATCGATCAAATGTATTTAGTACCTCTGAGAGAAAGAGGGTCGTTAAAAAGGGGGAGAAGACAGCTTCACAGCTACTTTGATATTTCATGAATACTGATCATTTCCCCATTCCTCATTCTTTTTAACCAGCTGATCAAGCAGATCCCTGTAAGTTCTTGGCGTGCAACGACTTCTCTCGCTGTGTGGTGAACCACTGGTCTCGGGAGGCCGAGTGTCTGTGTGACCCGGGCTACATGACGTTGGATGGCCTGCCCTGTCAGAGTATCTGTGTCCTGCAGCCTGACTACTGCCAAAACGGGGGTCAGTGTGAGATAGTACCTGGGCATGGAGCCACTTGCAGGTACTTTAGCGTAACCACCTCCAAATAAAGTAAACATGGTGCCATGTTTCTTCATATCCAGATTTTTATTAAGCCATTCATTGTTACTACTACGTATTAATTATAATATCCATTGCCATCACTTGTTTCTCTCACCTGTTACAGTTCAACTTGATGTTGTTCTCTTTGTTGATGTTGTCTACTTAGTGTTGAGCGGAAAGCAACACAACATGACATTCTAATACCACATACAACACACGCACTCTTTCATGAACTGTACCGTTCATTATGTGCTCTAACCCAGTGTCTTTGACCTCTTTAGATGTCCTGTAGGTAAAGTCTGGCACTTTAACGGGGAGCGCTGCACTGAGCTGGTGGCCGTACCAGTAGACCCCTTCCTTTTCATAAGCTGCTTTGTGGGCTTCCTGTCCTTTGTTTATGCCGTGATAGCTCTCATGATATTCATGTACACACAATGTAGACGGAGCAGAGAGACAGTGACTTTGGCGTAAGCAAAAGTATTTTCTTCACTGTGTTGATTTGTATGGTACATGCATTTAGCTGTACTATATGTATTCTTATTTCAACACTTACTATATACACTATATACACTATATATATATATATACTTTACTATATATACATTCTAATAAGAGATAACGCCCATTTTGCTTTTAGAGCTGAGAGCTGTACTGGTACTATAGAATTAATCCTAGTGGACTTGAGGTTTTCGGAAAAAAAGAGTGACTCTCTCTTGACGTTATAAGCTCCCAGCTTGCAGTCGCAGACTTCCAGACCGTGTCATGCTGACTCTCTGGAACCTACAGAGAAAATGTCTCCGTAATGTAATTTTTTATCTTAACAGAATTTTTATTATACCCAATTAAACATACTCACCTCAGCTACATAGGTAAAAGGGAAATCTTTAAAAACATATTCAAAGCTAATCATTATGCCTTTTATATGCATAAAGATGTATTTCTGTATGGGCCAACTACTTATGTTTTGCTTTAGTAAAGACCATGTGACAAGAATCTGAAACTTCAAAATCTCCTTCACTAACTATACAAACCACTTAACTAATCCCCCTATAGCAGTGGTATTCATAGTCGTGGTCGCGGGAGAACTGCATTGGGGTCGCCAAAATATTATTATATATTACATTTTTTGAACAACAATTAATAGAACTGATTATTATATGCAAACGTTTATGAGAAAGATAATTTGAAGATTATTTTTTTTTTGAGTACATTTATTTATTGGATTCTTTTCATTTTGATAGGAGATGAAAATGCAATGAATTTAAACGTATTTGTTATTTAAGGTTGTGTCATTAGATTTAACGTTGGGCGGGGTCGCAAGAAATTCTTGGGAAGAAAATGGGGTCCCCGCTGAAAATGTTTGAATACCACTGCCCTACAGTATATGTAAATACAGCGACAAAGTGTTCAAGCAAAGGTTAAAGTGTCAGTGGATTTAGTTCCCTCTCTGATCCCGTTAGTTCCATTTGTAATTATGCGAGCATTGGGGGGCTTCACCCCACCAGGAACCAGTCAACCCACCCACACAGACCTGGATTTGCCATCTCCTATTAACACAGAGTGTGCATCCCAAATGGCATCCTATTCCCTATGTAGTGCATTACTTTTGATCAGGGCCCATAGGGCATGGACAAAAGTAGTACACTACTGTATATAGGGAATAGGGTGCCATTTGGGACACAAACAGACCCTAACACAGTAATCCAGCCCCTAGACCAGACAGCACCACAAACAGTCAGAAATAACAACCATCTATGAAAATATAAAGGTTAATACATTATGTAGCTTTCTCAGTCTATGAAAATTAAAAGGTTAATACCATACAGGGTGCTGCTGACATTATCTAGGTTTCAGTAATTTTATTGTAAATAGTTTAAGATTTCTCAGGTAAATTTTGTCTCATGGAAATCTATTCCAGTAAACAATGTAGGCCTACAATCACATAAGATTCTAAAATAGTTGAAATGCCCAACTATTGATTAGTTAATGTCAGTCCATTGGTCTGTAAGCAAAGTAGAGGTACAGTACTTTTTGCCAAAAAAGGATAATGCACCATAGTGAACTCACAGTATCATTCCATTTTGACAATCTCACAGGTCTCTACAGTGACCTAACGACTAATGTGTCTCCTTTCAAGAAAAACCTTGTTGTGTTTCACCCCATGTTACTTTTCCCTTGGGATAATGTATAGTTGCAATAGTTTTTCTTGTTCGCTCATTTGTTTGTTCTTTTTGTCTCAATATCCTTTTTCATGTTTTTATTTGGGTAGATACCCAGACAAGTATACAAGTCTTCCAGGCCTGACAAGTTAAGAAAATAGAGGGTTGAATGACATCAACACTACGTCTTGGGGTAAGGACTTGTTAGATAATTTGCTTTCTATGGACAACTTTTTAAAATCTTTCTTTGACCTTTATTTCTGTCCCAGACAGTCAGAGAATGACAAGGCATTAAATTACATTATCGAAACAAGAAAGCTAATCAAACCATGACATCATATAATTATCATTCAAACAAATTGGTCTATGATCTTTCCAATAGTTTACGGGTGGAGTTTAAATTGGTTTAGAGCCAAGAGTATTTCCACAACAGACTGTAAGCCACAGACAGACACACCTCACACAGACAAACCAAACCTCCTAAAGGGAACACTTAGTCCATTTATTCACCTCTTGATGGAGGAGAGGCGGATTGGCAAGCCTGTTTGTGAACAGAAGGCGTTGTTGCTTTCCGAATGCAGGCTTTGTCATTAGTCTGGCCTTCTTTGACCCTCTTTTCGGTTCAGTCATTTTGTTGTTGAGGAACTGAGTCAAATGTAATTAGTTGAATTAAAACAAACAGAATGCAGAATTTAGTATGGCTGACTTTCATTCAGAAGATCATACAATTCAAAGTATCAGACTTGGGTTTGTACACTATGCCAGTTTAATGAATGCTTGGCAAAGTGGAACTATCTTAGCCTGCATGCACTGTACACTCCCTTTGTTTTTGTCAAAGGTAACACTGGCATCTGTGTTTCTCCTCTGTTTTAGACTTGGTGACTGCAGAAGACGGCGTTTGGACCACTGAAGTAGGACTGTTTATAAAGGATATTTAATAGTCGATGCAGTTAACGGACTATGTCGTGACTGCAGAAAGACATTGATCTGCGGTCTTCTGATGGACAGGCAGACACAACCCCTTCATCTCAGCTTTCCAAAGCCTGTGCTTCACCTGAAAGGATACTCCCCAAACTGTGGACAACCATACTCAATCATTGTCATCAGTGGACGACAAACGGATGTGATCATTTTGCTACATTTAACAAGTTGCTAAGGCACCCCAGGACAGCTAACTGCTTTTATACATAATATGCTGACAATGTAGTAGTGAAAATGTTTTTAATTTAAAATGCCAGATGAAAAGTTATGAGAAATGTTTTCCTCATAATGAGGTATGTATGTTGCAATGGAGTATAGTTAATATCACATACTGTACACCTGTGTGGGTGATTTCTCTGTAATGCTGTATTGGTGTTGTTTTATAATTGTAATATTGATAATTATTATTGATAATTGTATAATGTCTGTCTCTGTAATACTGTAATGGTGTTAATATTTCCTCAGTGTCCTCAAACTGCTGTTCTGTACACATCGGGGAAATGAACTGCTCATTCTCTTCAATAGGGCTTTTTTAACAGTCAGTATTTCCTAACAGAACTGTCTGTATTTTTGCTGCTGTACCAAAACCATGTTGAGGAATAGGGTGATGTCAAACACAAGGGGAAAAAGCAGTTGAGTGAAACATGGAATGCGTTTATTTCATCAGTTAGAAATCAGCGTTAGAAAAGTGACAGTGAAAAGGCAGTATCTGAGGAATGATTGTAATGCGTGTTGAGAGATACAGAGCATATCGAAGCCAGTCAGTCATTTCTTGTACATTACAAGTGATATTCCAGGAGGTCCCACAGTACAGTAGTAAACTCTGCTGTTCACATCAGAAATACATAGGTCTAAACTGAAGAAGACATGCTTTAGACCAGGGTTGCCCAACCCTGTTCCTGGAGAGCTACCCTCCTGTAGGTTTTCGCTCCAACCCCAGGTGTTACTAACCCGATTCATCTTATCAACCTGCTAATTATTAGAATCAGGTGTGCTCGATTAGGGTTGGAGCAAAAACCTACAGGACGGTAGCTCTCCAGGAACAGGGTTGGGCAGTCCTGCTTTAGACACAAGAGCATGAGTGGATAGATCTCATCCATTCAAACAACCACAACGTCGCCTTTCGCTTGTGCAGAGCGTCCAAGGGAATGAGAAGCGCTAGAAAACGAACTCAAGACTAACAGCCTTACCCGAAGAGAGTAGTTCTAGTCTCACAAGATTGTCTCTAAAACACACAGTACTGTACATGACAAAGTCTGTCCTCCTTGTAGTGTTGCTTGTGTAAATTATTGCTTCATAATTTGTTGATTTTTTGAGGAATATGAGTCATGTATGTGCCCAAACCCTTTATAGCAGGGTTGTTAAACTCATTCCATGGAGGGCTGAGTGTCTGTGGATTTTTGTTTTTTCCTTTCAATTAAGACCTACAGTAGACAACTAGGTAAAGGGAGCGCCTTACTAATTAGTGACCTTAATTCATCAATCAAGTACGAGGGTGGAGCAAAAACCCGCAGACACATGGCCCTCTGTGGAATGAGTTTGACACATGCTTTAGAGCAGGACTGCCCAACCCTGTTCCTGGAGCGCCACCCTCCTGTAGGTTTTCGCTCCAACTCCAGGTGTTATTAACCTGATTCATTTTATCAACCTGCCAATTATTAGAATCAGGTGTGCTAGATTAGGGTTGGGGCAAAAACCTACAGGACGGTAGCTCTCCAGGAACAGGGTTTGCCAGTCCTGCTTTAGAGTATCTTAGAGTATAAATATTTATTTTATAAAATAAATGTGTACATTCCTGTGTAGAAACATTACACTCTCTTTGTATCATACACTTATATAACATTCTGTATGTATGTGTCTATTGAAATATGAGATGATGTACTGTATCTAGCAGAGGGAAGAATAGCTTACTGTATTGTATATGAGCTTGATGTCTTCTTGACCCAACTTCATTCAACACGATTTCACTATTCCTTTTTTCTCCCATACACACATTTGGTCCGACAGTATGACTTGAACGCTATTTGAGTATCTCAAGATTTGTATTATTCACTTTTCTTCACATCATAATTAAGTTTGATTAATACATTATTTTTCTTTTTGTTTCTTAAGACAATATTTGGAATATCCCAGCCTTGTGTGGAGAACATGAAACAATGCATTTTAATTTCAACCATGTGGCTTTAGAAATGAATGGTTGGGTAATGTGAAAAGAAAATATCTTTCTTTCTTTCTCTCATTAGCACACCTAAATCACACATATATGAAGAATAAAACACAAAGAAATAAAAAGTAAGGACTGAAGGAACAAATCAACAAACTCAAATTACATTCGGTCTGAAAGCCAGAGGTAAAAAAAAAGAAAGTTATCATTACAGTATTATCAAATATTATAATTAGAAATTAATGTGAACTTATGTGCAGTTACAAAAAAATATCCTTAGAGAAGAACCTGACTCTCAAGTATAACTGCCTCACATGAGAAAACAGAGAGGTCCAACCAGGGGTGGAAATAGCCAGAATTCACTGGGGTAACCTGCTGGGGGGGCCATTTCCAACCCTGGATCCAACAACTATTTTGTGCAAGTATTGTCCTGTAATAACTACATGAAAACGAAGTAAACAGCAAGTATCGGTTTGAGTGAAACTATCAACAAGCTGTTAAGACCGAAGAGACAAAATGTTTTTTATACTCTTAAAACTTATTTGGAGGCAGCTTTGAAACACTCCCTACTTTCAGCAAATTACCCTGTTAAAGTAGTTTTTATAAGGCCTCATAGTTAAAGTAGCAGGAATATTAAAAGGAAAACATCCACATTTTCTCGAGAAACAAAACTAGATGTAGTAATTACTCACTGTCTGATTCCTCTGCATAGGTTCACTGCAAATTCCCCCGCACCCAACGAGAAATAATAAATCGACAAGACAATTGAAAGCAGGCAAGACCAACAACATGAACAAAAGAAAAAAGCCAATTAACAAAAAGCAGTTAACTTATGACTCGAGTGCCCCCAGTCAAAACATGGTACAGTATGCTTGAATACCCGCTGTGCAGTAGCTTAGTGCAATCTTCCCTTTGCTGTAGTGAGAGAGAGGCCCGTGGTTTAAGACAGGGGGCTTTAGCTCCAGGGTGAAGTTTCCCCCAGAGTACAGATCTAGGATCAGCTTCCCCTCCCCAATCCTAACCTTAACCATTAGGTGGGTAAAATGCAAAACTGACCCAGGATCAGTGACTAGGGGCAAATTCACCCTACACCCTTTACTTGAGGAGGCTCTGCAGCATGGCTGTGGCGTAGGTGGGGCGGGCCTGTCGGCTCTCGATGGCTCTCCGGAGGTACTGGATGCCCCCGCAGCGCTCCCAGATCTCCTCAAACTGCCGGGGCAGGATCTCAGCTCCCCTCTTCCTCGTCAGGCCTGTCTCCTCCAGGCTCAGCTCACACATCTCCATGTCGTCTTTCCCTAGAGACACAGACCGCAAAACAATAGAGCGTTGTGACTGTGAGGCAGTAAGACTATAAATCGTACAGATAAATGAGCGTGCACACACAGAGAGAGAGAGAAGATCCCCTATACTAGGAGTTCTGGGTTACTGACTGACCTGCCACCAGCAGGATGGGCTGCTTGTCCGGGTGCAGCTCCATCTGCCTGGCGATCCAGGGCCCGTCAAAGTGGGCATACCACCAGCCCTTCTTTTTGTTCTGGGGGTCCTTGTACTGGTCCCCGGGCCGGATGAAAGGGATGCGGAAGTAGCGCTGCTGCCTGTTCATGGCCACCTCATGCTGCCTGGCTGGGATGGGCGGGGCTGTGTTCGCCTGGGCTGTTGGAGGAGGGGTTAGTTAGAGAGACTAATGACGCTGGCTGATTGGAATGGTAACACAAACCAATAGGGATGCAGGGAGTGTGATGTTGCTAGAGCTGGGGAGGAGGGTTCAGCACTAGCGGTAGATCACAGAGCCACTGAAAGGGGGAGCAAATCAGAGCGACAAGCAGCATGTCAGGTGTTTGTTAAAGATCTTGAACGCTCGTATCAACACATAAAGAACATACATTTGCATATTCTATACATATTGGAGCGTAAATAAATAAGGGATAGTGATTGAAGGGAGTGGATGGGTGGGAGACTATGGAGAAAAGGACCAGAGAAAGACAGTGGTATAGTAGCCTCAGATCTGTTGAGGACAGTGGTTCCCAGCCCAAGTCCTCCAGTACCCCAACAGCACACATTTTTGTTGTACCCCGGACAAAAAACACCCGATTCAACTCATTGAGGGCCTGATGATTAGTTGACAAGTTGAATCAGGTGTGCTTGTCCAAGGCTACAACAAAAATATGTTCTGTTGGGAGTACTGGAGGACTGGAGTTGGGAACCACTGCTGTACAGTATGGATCCCTTCCTTTAAAGCAACATCTCCAAGATCCATTGCCACCAAACAAAATGGATCTTTCACTCCAATTTAGTAGAAAAGGTTGTGTAGAAAAGGTTGTGACGTTAACTGTGAAGACTAACACCTCGGCGCCCCAACACCATAGAGCAGGGCTGCACAACCCTCTTCCTGGATATCTACCATCCTGTGGGTTTTCAGTCCAACCCTAATTTAACACACCTGATTCTACTTATTAGATGCTCAACAAGACCTTATCTAGCTGAATCAGATATGCTAAATTAGGTTTGGACTGAAAACCTACAGGACAGTAGATCTCCAGGAAGAGGGTTGGGCAGCCCTGCCATAGAGGTATTATATTAACTAGAGACAAGGAACAGCAATGGCCGCCCACCCATTCCCAACACCTTTCAGAGTCCCTCCTTCGTTTTTGTCCAGAGAGAAAGCTTGCAAAAGTTGAAACCGAGAGTGACCGATATAATTTCTTTGTGGAATTTGTTCCAATGACATACTGTATATATAATCTCTAGGGCCCTCAAACTCCAATCCAATTTTTTAATTGTTCCCCTTTAATCAGGGACTGATTTAGACCTTGGACACCAGGTGGGTGCAATTAATTATCAGGTAGAACAGAAAACCATCAGGCTCTGGACCTCGTAGGGCAGGGTTTCCCAAACTCGGTCCTCAGTTTTTTTGCACTAGCACTACACAGCTGATTAAAATAAGCAACTAATCATCAAGCTTTGATAATGTGAATCAGCTGTGTAGTGTTAGGGCAAAACCCAAAATGTGCACCCCTTGGGGTCCCGAGGACCGAGTTTGGGAAACGCTGTTGTAGGGTAAGATTGGAGTACCCCTGCTCTAGGGTGTCCAATCAAAAATGTATGTATATTTTCCCCCCTCAATCTACACACAATACCCCATAATGACAAAGCAAAAACAGGTTTCTATACATTTTTGCCAATAAAAGTCCAACAGAGACTTGTCCTGAAGCCACTCCTGCATTGTCTTGCCTGTGTGATTAGGGCCGTTGTCCTGTTAGAAGGTGAACCTTTGCCCCAGTTTGTGGTCCTGAGCGCTCTGGAGCAGGTTTTCATCAAGGATCTCTCTGTACATTGCTCTGTTCATCTTTCACTCTATCCTGACTTGTCTCCCAGTCCCTGCCGCTGAAAAACATCCCCACAGCATGATGCTGCCACCACCATGCTTCACTGTAGAGATGGTGCCAGGTTTCCTCCAGACGTGACACTTGGAATTCAGGCCAAAGAGTTCAATCTTGGTTTCATCAGACCAGAGAATCTTGTTTCTCATGATCTGAGAGTCCTTTAGGTGCCTTTTGGCAAACTCCAAGCAGGCTGTCATGTGCCTTTTGGCAAAATCCGAGCGGCCTGTCATGTGCCTTTTACTGAGGAGTGGCTTCTGTCTGGCCACTCTACCATCAAGGCCTGATTGGTGGAGTGCTGCAGAGATGGTTGTCCTTCTGGAAGGTTCTCCCATCTCCACAGAGGAACTCGGGAGCTCTGTCAGAGTGACCATCGGGTTCTTGGTCACCTCCCTGACCAAGGCCCTTCTCCCCCGATTGCTCAGTTTGGCCGGTCGGCCAGCTCTAGGAAGAGTCTTGGTGGTTCCAAACTTCTTCTATTTAAGAATGATGGAGGCCACCGTGTTCTTGGGGACCTTCAATGCTGCAGAAATGTGTTGGTACCCTTCCCCAGATCTGTGCCTCGACACAATCCTGTCTCGAAGCTCTACGGACAATTCCTTCGACCTCATGGCTTGGTTTTTGCTCTGACATGCACTGTCAACTGTGGGACCTTATATACACTATCAATCAATCAATCAATTTTATTTTATATAGCCCTTCTTACATCAGCTAATATCTCGAAGTGCTGTACAGAAACCCAGCCTAAAACCCCAAACAGCTAGTAATGCAGGTGTAGAAGCACGGTGGCTAGGAAAAACTCCCTAGAAAGGCGAAAACCTAGGAAGAAACCTAGAGAGGAACCAGGCTATGAGGGGTGGCCAGTCCTCTTCTGGCTGTGCCGGGTGAAGATTATAACAGAACCATGCCAAGATGTTCAAAAATGTTCATAAGTGACAAGCATGGTCAAATAATAATCAGGAATAAATCTCAGTTGGCTTTTCATAGCCGATCATTAAGAGTTGAAAACAGCAGGTCTGGGACAGGTAGGGGTTCCATAACCGCAGGCAGAACAGTTGAAACTGGAATAGCAGCAAGGCCAGGCGGACTGGGGACAGCAAGGAGTCACCACGGCCGGTAGTCCCGACGTATGGTCCTAGGGCTCAGGTCTCTCAGTTGGCTTTTCATAGCCGATCATTAAGAGTTGAAAACAGCAGGTCTGGGACAGGTAGGGGTTTCGTAACCGCAGGCAGAACAGTTGAAACTGGAATAGCAGCAAGGCCAGGCGGACTGGGGACAGCAAGGTGTCATCATGCCCGGTAGTCCTGACGTATGGTCCTAGGGCTCAGGTTCTCAGAGAGAAAGAGAGAACGAGAGAATTAGAGAGAGCATACTTAAATTCACACAGGACACTGGATAAGACAGGAGAAGTACTCCAGGTATAACCAACTAACCCCAGCCCCCCGACACATAAACTACTGCAGCATAAATACTGGAGGCTGAGACAGGAGCGGTCCGGAGACACTGTGGCCCCATCCGAAGAAACCCCCGGACAGGGCCAAACAGGAAGGATATAACCCCACCCACTCTGCCAAAGCACAGCCCCCGCACCACTAGAGGGATATCCTCAACCACCAACTTACAATCCTGAGACAAGGCCGAGTATAGCCCACAGAGGTCTCCACCACAGCACAAACCAAGGGGGGGGCGCCAACCCAGACAGGAAGATCACGTCAGTAACTCAACCCACTCAAGTGACGCACCCCTCCCAGGGACGGCATGAAAGAGCACCAGCAAGCCAGTGACTCAGCCCCTGCAACAGGGTTAGAGGCAGAGAACCCCAGTGGAGAGGGGAACCGGCCTGGCAGAGACAGCAAGGGCTGTTCGTTGCTCCAGAGCCTTTCCGTTCACCTTCACACTCCTGGGCCAGACTACACTCAATCATATGACCTACTGAAGAGATAAGTCTTCAGTAAAGACTTAAAGGTTGAGACCGAGTCTGCGTCTCTCACATGGGTAGGCAGACTGTTCCATAAAAATGGAGATCTATAGGAGAAAGCCCTGCCTCCCGCTGTTTGCTTAGAAATTCTAGGGACAATTAGGAGGCCTGCGTCTTGTGACCGTAGCGTACGTATTGGTATGTACGGCAGGACCAACTCGGAAAGATAGGTAGGAGCAAGCCCATGTAACGCTTTATAGGTTAACAGTAAAACCTTGAAATCAGCCCTTGCCTTAACAGGAAGCCAGTGTAGGGAAGCTAGCACTGGAGTAATATGATCAAATTTCTTGGTTCTAGTCAGGATTCTAGCAGCCGTATTTAGCACTAACTGAAGTTTATTTAGTGCTTTATCCGGGTAGCCGGAAAATAGAGCATTGCAGTAGTCTAACCTAGAAGTAACAAATGCATGGATTAATATTTCTGCATCATTTTTGGACAGAAAATTTCTGATTTTTGCAATGTTACGTAGATGGAAAAAAGCTGTCCTTGAAACACTACAGGTCCAAAGTTTTAGAACACCTACTCATTCAAGGGTTTTTCTATATTTTTACTATTTTCTACATTGTAGAATAATAAGGAAGACATCCAAACTATGAAATAACAAATATGGAATCATGTAGTAACCAAAAAAGTGTTAAACAAATCAAAATATATTTTATATTTGAGATTCTTCAAATAGCCACCCTTTGCCTTGATGACAGCTTTGCACACTCTTGGCATTCTCTCAACCATCTTCATGAGGTAGTCACCTGAAATGCATTTCAATTAACAGGTGTGCCTTCATAAAAGTTAATTTGTGGAATTTATTTCCTTCTTAATGCATTTGAGCCAATCAGTTGTGTTGTGACAAGGTAAGGGGGGGGGGGGGGGGGGGTATACAGAAGATAGCCCTATTTGGTAAAAGACTAAGTCCATATTATGGCAAGAACAGCTCAAATAAGCAAAGAGAAACGACAGTCCATCATTACTTTAAGACATGAAGGTCAGTCAATACGGAACATTTCAAGAACTTTGAAAGTTTCTTCAAGTGCAGTCGCAAAAACCATCAAGCGCTATGATGAAACTGGCTCTCATGAGGACCGCCACAGGAAAGGAAGACCCAGAGTTACCTCTGCTGCAGAGGATAAGTTCATTAGAGTTACCAGCCTCAGAAATTGCAGCCCAAATAAATGCTTCACAGAGTTCAAGTAACAGACACATCTCAACATCAACTGTTCAGAGGAGACTGCGTGAATCAGGCCTTCATGGTCGATTTGCTGAAAAGAAAACACTACTAAAGGACACCAATAATAAGAAGAGACTTGCTTGGTTTCTGCTCCAATGAGGTGTCAACTGCCACGCTTCACTTCCAATCAGGAGGTAGATGTGTTACGCTGTCACACTCCCATAAACACGACGAGACGGAGACCCGCAGTGTCCAAAATGGCACGCTATTCTCTATGGGCCCTGGGTCAAAGGTAGTGCACTATCTAAGGAATAAGGTGGCATTTGAGACGCGCCACACATCCATCCAAACACAATTTAGCCTGATTTCCCTGAGCACTTTTAGCTCCCATTGTCAGCATAGCCACATCACATTTGCATCAGCAGCCATTTAAGCCCTTTGAAATCTCTTTGTGCACATCCTCATTCTCCATCAGCTTGCATTAGACATTTTGAGAACACTGAGTCTTGTAAAAAGTCTGTAGAGTCTCATAAAATAACCTACACGTGTAAAGAATGCACTTAGTTGATACCCCTTAATAATATTTGTTCTGTCATTAATAAAATAACATGCAATCCAAAGACAATTCCTTTTTTGTTGTTGTTGAAAGATACCAGTTGCTGTAAGCTTCCTTATGCCATCACCAAGGTTGCACCCTATTTCCTATATAGTGCACTACTGTTGACCAGAACCCTATGGGTCCTGGTAAAAAGTAGTGCACTACAAGGAAATATGGTGCATCCTAAAACAGAAAGTAAAACCCTTCCACACAGCGTAGTGAGTCCCACACACATTTCCCCATGGTTAATAGAGGGGTTAGGGGCTGAGGTTAGTGATGCTAATACATTGTGGAGAACCACTTACGTGCTCGTCTCACATGAGGTGCGAGATCTGAAAGTAAACATGCCAGGTTACAATAACAAACATCACATGCAGTAGGACACAGGTATGAAAGAAACAACACGCAAGACAAGATCATGGAATGACACATGGATTTCCTAGAAATACATTTTTGAGCCTATCACATCATCATAGATGTTAGTGGAACAAGAAACCATTATATATAATGACAGAGTCATTACCACGTCTTTACATGTGTTTACGGTTGCCAGGATCGGCCTACATGGATAAGACCATAGGCATGGAAGAACCGGGAGTGTCATTCCACTGTATATGGTCATTCACAAGCAAAATCATTAGATTGTAGGCTACATTATGCTAGGATCCTGAAAATATGAGCTCTCCTCAGCCTCTGGCTTGTTATTGTGTCAGAGAACAGGTAGAGGTATAGCTGGTACTGTGCATGCACACTAAGTGAGAGGTGGGGGCTGGGCATAGCTACAGACCCGATAATTATACATGATGATTCTGTATGTAATTCTATGGGGGCTGTGTATGTGGCCCAATCAGGGGAATAGCTCTTTGTCGTCATGGCGACTGCTCATGGAAATGAGGCAGAACCAGTGGAGCGTTAAAGGAGAAAGAGAGCACAGGTTTCTATGGAGAACAATGAGAAGAGATCAGCCACCAACAGGATGTGTCCCAAATGACACCCTATTCTCTATATAGTGCACTATGTAGTGAGTAGAGTGCCATTTGGGACACAGACCCAGTATCAGTACTATAGTAGAATACTCAATAAGGGGCTAAAGCTCTGACCGAGACAGTCTCTTTGGGTCTGCCTCCTCTAGGGTATTGGGAGCAGAATAAAAATTGATGTTTTCCAAATCAATGGAAAAAGACACCTTCAATGATGTTGTACTGTATAAGACTGTCTGAAAGACCCCCTGGGGGTTGGGGTCGAGGTGAGCTGTGGGGACCCTTACCATAGTCGGTGACCGATTTGGGGGCCCTCTGCTCAGTGTTGCCGGGGTCGTTGCCACGCTTCTTGTTCTTTGACTTCCAGGCATGGTAGACCTTCAGCCGGCGGTGGAACTCCTCTCGGCAGGCGGCCAGCAACTCAATGTCTGCAGGTGGAGTGAGGGAGGGTGGGGGGGAGAGAGAGAGGAGAGAGAGAGAGAGAGAGAGAGAGAGAGAGAGAGAGAGAGAGAGAGAGAGAGAGAGAGAGAGAGAGAGAGAGAGAGAGAGAGAAATATTAGAGCATAGCAGGTAGTGAAGTATACCAGCCAACTAGAACCACCATGGTCAGAGCTACAAACAGACAGATGATGGAGGACTACCAACAGACAGACGGTTGGAGGACTACCAACAGACTGATGATGGAGGACTACCAACAGACAGATGGATGGAGGACTACCAACAGACAGATGGATGGAGGACTACCAACAGACAGATGGATGGAGGACTACCAACAGACAGATGGATGGAGGACTACCTACAGACAGATGATGGAGGACTACCAACAGACAGACGGATGGAAGACTACCAACAGACAGACGGATGGAGGACTACCAACAGACAGATGGATGGAGGACTACCAACAGAGACGGATGGAGGACTACCAACAGACAGATGGATAGAGGACTAAAAACAGACAGATGATGGTGGACTACCAATAGACAGATGATGGAGGACTACCAACAGACAGATGGAGGACTACCAACAGGCAGATGGAGGACTACCAACAGACAGACGGATGGAAGACTACCAACAGACAGACGGATGGAGGACTACCAACAGAGACGGATGGAGGACTACCAACAGACAGATGGATGGAGGACTACCAACAGACAGATGGATGGAGGACTACCAACAGACAGATTGATGGAGGACTACCAACAGACAGATGATGGAGGACTACCAACAGACAGATGATGGAGGACTACCAACAGACAGATGATGGAGGACTACCAACATACAGATGATGGAGGACTACCAACATACAGATGATGGAGGACTACCAACAGACAGATGATGGAGGACTACCAATAGACAGATGGATGGAGGACTACCAAAAGACAGATGGATGGAGGACTACCAACAGACAGATGGATGGAGGACTACCAACAGACAGATGGATGGAGGACTACCAACAGACAGATGATGGAGGACTACCAACAGACAGACGGATGGAAGACTACCAACAGACAGATGATGGAGGACTACCAACAGACAGACGGATGGAGGACTACCAACAGACAGATGGATGGAGGACTACCAACAGACAGATGGATGGAGGACTACCAACAGAGACGGATGGAGGACTACCAACAGACAGATGGATGGAGGACTACCAACGAAGACGATGGAGGACTACCAACAGACAGAGGATGGAGGACACCAACAGGACGGATGGAGGACTACCAACAGACAGAGGTTGGAGGACTACCAACAGACAGACGGTTGGAGGACTACCAACAGACAGAGGATGGAGGACTACCAACAGACAGACGGATGGAGGACTACCAACAGACAGACGGATGGAGGACTACCAACAGACAGACGGATGGAGTACTACCAACAGACAGACGGATGGAGGGCTACCAACAGAGACGGATGGAGGACTACCAACAGACAGATGGATGGAGGACTACCAACAGACAGACGGATGGAGGACTACCAACAGACGAGGATGGAGGACTACCAACAGACAGACGTTGGGAGACTACCAACAGACAGAGGTGGAGGACTACCAACAGACAGACGGATGGAGGACTACCAACAGACCAGATTATGGAGGACTACCAACAGACAGACGGCTGGAGGACTTACCAACAGGCCAGATGGATGGAGGACTACCAACAGACAGTTGGATGGAGGACTACCAAACAGAGGACGGATTGAGGACTACCAACAAGATCAGATGGATGGAGGACTACCCAACAGACAGATGGATGGAGGACTACCCAAACAGACCAGACGATGGAGGATTACAACAGCACAGATGCGATGGAGGACTACCAACAGGACAGACGGGATGGAGGACAACCAACAGAGACGGATGGGCGGGACTACCAACAGGACAGGACCGGTTGGAGGACTACCCAACAGGACAGACGGTTGGAGGACTACCAACAGACAGACGGATGGAGGACTACCAAACAGACAGAGGATGGGAGGACTACCAACAGGACAGACGGATGGGAGGACTTCCCCAATAGACAGACGGATGGCGGACTACCAACAGACAGACGGATGGAGTACTACCAACAGACAGACGGATGGAGTGGCTTACCACAGAGACGGATGGAGGACTACCAACAGCAGATGGATGGAGGACGACTACCACCAGGAGAGACTACAACAAGAGACGGATGGAGGACTCCAACAGACAGACGGATCATGACTCCAGTCACTATCTTTCTAACAGACGATGATGGAGGACTACAACAGACAGACGGATGTGAAGACGGACTACCAAGACAGATGATGGAGGACTATACCAACAGACAGACGGATGGAGACTACAACAGACAGACGGATGGACTACCAACAGACAGATGATGGACTACCAACAGACAGACGGATGGAGACTACCAACAGCAGACGGATGGAGGACTACCAACAGAGACGGATGGAGGACTACCAACAGACAGAGGATGGAGGACTACCAACAGACAGATGGATGGAGGACTACCTACAGACAGATGATGGAGGACTACCAACAGACAGACGGATGAAAGACTACCAACAGACAGACGGATGGAGGACTACCAAAAGACAGACGGATGGAGGATTTTACCAACAGAGACGGATGAGGACCTATCCCAACAGACAGGATGGAATAGAGGACTAAAAACAGACAGATGATGGTGGACTACCAATAGACAGATGATGGAGGACTACCAACAGACAGATGATGGAGGACTACCAACAGACAGATGGAGGACTACCAACAGACAGATGGAGGACTACCAACAGACAGACGGATGGAAGACTACCAACAGACAGACGGATGGAGGACTACCAACAGAGACGGATGGAGGACTACCAACAGACAGATGGATGGAGGACTACCAACAGACAGATGGATGGAGGACTACCAACAGACAGATTGATGGAGGACTACCAACAGACAGATGGAGGACTACCAACAGACAGATGATGGAGGACTACCAACATACAGATGATGGAGGACTACCAACAGACAGATTATGGAGGACTACCAATAGACAGATGGATGGAGGACTACCAACAGACAGATGGATGGAGGACTACCAACAGACAGATGGATGGAGGACTACCAACAGACAGATGGATGGAGGACTACCAACAGACATATGGATGGAGGACTACCAACAGACATATGGATGGAGGACTACCAACAGACAGATGATGGAGGACTACCAACAGACAGACGGATGGAGGACTACCAACAGACAGATGGATGGAGGACTACCAACAGACAGATGGATGGAGGACTACCAACAGAGACGGATGGAGGACTACCAACAGACAGATGGATGGAGGACTACCAACAGACAGATGGATGGAGGACTACCAACAGACAGACGGATGGAGGACAACCAACAGAGACGGATGGAGGACTACCAACAGACAGACGGTTGGAGGACTACCAACAGACAGACGGTTGGAGGACTACCAACAGACAGACGGATGGAGGACTACCAACAGACAGACGGATGGAGGACTACCAACAGACAGACGGATGGAGGACTACCAACAGACAGACGGATGGAGGACTACCAACAGACAGACGGATGGAGTACTACCAACAGACAGACGGATGGAGACTACCAACAGACAGACGGATGGAAGACTACCAACAGACAGACGGATGGAGGACTACCAACAGACAGATGGATGGAGGACTACCAACAGAGACGAGGAGGACTAAAAGGATTGGGACTACCAACAGACAGATGGATGGAGGACTACCAACAGACAGATGGATGGAGGGAACTACCAACAGACAGATGATGGAGGACTACCAACAGACAGATGATGGAGGACTACCAACATACAGATGATGGAGGACTACCAACAGACAGATTATGGAGGACTACCAATAGACAGATGGATGGAGGACTACCAACAGACAGATGGATGGAGGACTACCAACAGACAGATGGATGGAGGACTACCAAACGACAGATGGATGGAGGACTACCAACAGACATATGGATGGAGGAACTACCAACAGACATATGGATGGAGGACTACCAACGACAGATGATGGAGGACTATCAACAGACAGACGGATGGAGGACTACCAACGACAGATGGATGGAGGACTACCAACAGACAGATGGATGGAGGACTACCAACAGGACAGATGGATGAGGACTACCAACAGACAGATGGATGGAGGACTACCAACCAGACGATGGTGACGAGGACTACCAACAGACAGACGGATGGAGGACAACCAACAGAGACGGTTGGAGGACTACCAAACAGACAGACGGTTGGAGGACTACCAACAGACAACGGTTGGAGGACTACCACAGACAGACGGATGGAGGACTACCAACAGACAGACGGATGGAGGACTACCAACAGAAGACGATGGAGGACTACCAACAGACAGACTGGATGGAGGACTACCAACAGACAGACGGATGGAGTACTACCAACAGACAGACGGATGGAGGGCTACCAACAGAGACGGATGGAGGACTACCAACAGACAGATGGATGGAGGACTACCAACAGAGACGGATGGAGGACTACCAACAGACAGATGGATGGAGGAGACCTACTACTAGAAGATTTTCATTACTTCAAAAACAAATTAAGGCAGCATTATGGCTTTCATTGTCATTCTATGTCTTCATGAAATTCTAAAACAATTGCTGCTAGGATTAAAATGCATTCAAGTTGTCAATCAGCATACCAGATGAACTCCCGGAGCGAAATATGGTGTGAAATTAGATGGTTAATACCTGCTAAGTGCCTTGGTAAAGTTGAGTGCACAAATACGGCTCCCTACCCTCCAGATAAATTAGTAATTTCACTCTCAAAATGTCTCCCTGCAATGTGCATACTACTTAACATCAGTATGCCTGATCATTTCGTGAATGAAAACGGAGAGGTGAAATGTTTTACTTTCAATACAGATGCGTCTGCAACCCCAGATACCTATTGTTGGACACATTTGACACATATGACACGGCGCTTTGGGAGCAGCCAATGAGGCTACGTCCCAAAATGAAACCCTATTCCCTACATAGTGCACTACGTTTGAACATTGGTACCATACTGTTCTACCAAATGATAGAAGAATTTGAACGTCATGTAAAAATAAGTGATCAAATAATAACATGGGTATTAATAAATAAACACAGAGCAAGTAAAAGCTGTAAAATCACAGCTCACTTTCAGCCAGAAGCTAAACAGCCTCAGAGAACTTTGTCACTCCTAATTGAACTGTCAATGTCACAGCAAAATGTCACAGTCAAGTTTCTTAAAGATCTTTTAACCACATATTTGGCACGATTGACTTTCTTACCACAGGATGTGTTGATGGCGTCCCTCAGCTCGGCGTATTTCCACTTGCTGAGCTCGTACTTCTTGGTGCCAGCAGCAGCAGCTTTGGTAGCCTGAACCTGTGGGCCTCTGGCAGCACAGAAACAACCAGGACAGTGGGGTTACAACCAGCACAGTGGGGTTACAACCAGCACAGTGGGGTTACAACCATCACAGTGGGGTTACAACCAAAACCAGATCAATATATAGTGGAGGCTCCAGGGTGAAGTTTCCCCTGGGTACAGATCTAGGATCAGCTTCCTCTCTCCCAATCCTAACCATTAGGCAGGTTCACATTTATTGAGATGACTCATGTACTAGGACCAAAAAGCACATTTGTTTTCATAAACTTTTACGATATAGACAATTTTGACTTTGCAGCTAGCCTATCTAGCGGAAACCGCTCAGTTCTGCCTCCAGGGCAAGGCTCATGACAAACGTCAAACTGCAACCATTAGTGGGGAAAATGCAAAACTGACTTAAGATCAGTGTCTAGGGGCAACTTCACCCTACTCCACAGTGGAGCAAGAATGACAGGATCCACAAGGAGAGAGCTCACAAAGGTCATAATTCACATCATATGATGTCATATTGACATATTGAAATTTTCATTGGAGGATTTGGGAGCAGGGTGATAAGGGGGGAAATGTGGAGTTTGTCAGGTCAGCTGCACTGTACAAGAAAAATTCAACAACCCCACACGAGAAACACAGACTATTCAAAACCCAACCCCTTTATGGAGCTGGAACGGCTCATAGGAGCAGGTTTCTGGAGCGTGAGGCAGCTTGTCTATCGCAGGGCCTTACCCCCAATCTCTCTCCTTAATTCGGAGTGCCAAGCAGAAACGCATCGGGTCGAATGTTTACAGTCTTTGGTATGACTTGGCCGGAGATCGAACTCCCAACCTTCCTTTCTCAGGGTGGACACTAATCACAAGGCCACTGAGTTGGTCATGGTGCTGCTTTAATCTGACCGGCCATTAAGCACTGTAAGGGACGGTTTCCCAGACAAAGATTAAAGACGTAACCTGTGTCCAGGAAACTGGTCCTATGTGTACTTCTCCTCTCTAGCTGTTGGTTGTCTGTTCTGCCATCACCTCCAACACAGTGCTGCTGACAGGGCTGATTAAGTCCTGGCTAGGATTTGCCCCTTTTAGAACACTGACTCTCTGGATCTGAGGCTGGAGTTAGGGGACGGGCCCTGGGCCACCTGAGGCCATCCACGCTCTAATCCTATTGACTAACTGAGCCATTGAGCCTCTCCACCCAGGGGAGCTGGCCTCGCACACTTGGCGCAGTTGGTGGCTATTCCAGGGACCCAGCAGCACGCAGCTCCATTGACCTTGGGCCAGCGGGCCGGTCACCTGCTGCTCCCGCTTCCTGTGGCCATGTGTCACCATGAGGAGTAGTGGCAGGTGGCTTGAGCCAATCAGTACACAGACAAAGTGACAGTAGTTCCTGCTGGGTGTGGCCTCAGGGTCAAATGTCCCTCATTCAGTCATTCCGATGGCGCGAGGCTGGCCCCATGGCATCAGCTAATGGGGATCCAATAAAGAACAGCTGCTCTACTACAGTGCATGAATCAGGATATGGCTGACTTATATAATGTGTGACTAACTATAATAGTTAGAACCAACATATGATGAGGTCCCATTGTAGAGTGAGTCTCGTCATTATTTACTTACCGGTATTTGAAGTAAAAGCTAGCTAAAAGTAAATGATTGTCTGAGACCTAACAACTTAAAAAGACACAGTCTGATTTGAAAACCAATCATTCATTCATTTGTATGGTGGGCAGCCCCACCCCATTGTGTAGGAATTCTCAATTATGGTTAATGGTTAATTGTGTGGAATTATGCAGAATTACCCTAATTAAGAAGATGAATCCCTATTAAGGTGATTAGTATTTATTCGCACATCATATACTTCTGTTGATCATTCTGTTTTGATCCATTGAGTTTAAAGTGATTGTGAAGATTTTCTGAGATGTCATTCATGGAACTTAAAGTAAGGATCTCTACCCACCTAGACAGAAGCTCAGACATTTCCTTGGCCATTTCCTCCCTAAAAGGACATGATGAGCCCAGTATAATAAGAGTTAGAACCACAGAGACACTTTCAATACCATCCAACTGTCACATGTGCACATTGATTGCAGTTCTAAGATGGCACAGAGGAAGAAGGCGTGTAAAGAGAGAAAAGTGGGCATGTGCAGACAAGAGGATAACAAACTCTCTCCCTAACAAGAACGCTGATGCTTTACAGGTGGCGTGACATACAGAGGCTGATCTGTCAGTGTGTGTGTGTGTGTACATGTGTGTGTGTTTGTGTGTAGTCGTGTCTGTGTAGTGTGTGTGTGATCGTTTCAGCATGAGGCTGTGAAAACAGCCCAGACCTCAGAATGTGAAGCTCCCTCCTGCTGTTCTAAGGAGGAAAATGTTGCATAATTACAAGAGCTTCTCTTCCTGATTTGGACACTCTCAGGTGACGCACATTGAGCCAACGTGTACATTCTAATATCTACACTCAGCCTAGATCCTGTGGAATTGTCCTTTATAGTGATTTGCTATTACCTGACGAGAGAGCATATTTCAGAGAAATTGATTAAGGGCTTAAAAAAAAAAAGTGAAATGGACAGAAACAGAGAGAGTAACCATTTGGCAAATCCATTAGGACCTTTCAAAACACCACTCTAGAAAGTGTCATACAGGTGAGTGCACAGCAGAATGTATCTGGTTCACAATGTGACACATCCATCAAATGCATGTTAGTGAGTTGGTTTGGTTTAGGGCCTGAGGGAATGCTGTGGGGAGCTGAGGTCTAGTTTCCAGATGCTAGTTGTTTCGGTGCTACAGCGTACAGTAAAATAGATTAGTAATATCAAGCTAATGGCCAGTGCAGTCAGCTTAGCCGTTGCTTTTCCACAATGCATTCTTTTCAGCCTCGATATAAAAAAAAACTACAAAAAAAGCATCCATCAAAAAATATATAAAGTGTGATATTCTATGTGTACCTCTACTGAATAAAAAAAAAAGTGCAAGAATGCTGAAGGTATGTTCAAACATAGTGAAGGTGGTGTTTAAAAGTAACCTACATGGACATGCTCTTGAGCTTTTGAGATCCACCAGCTCCACTGCAACAAGAGAATGATGAGGATTACAATGGGGCTCTAACACTGTACACAATACAGGAGCCAATCAGGAACTGAAGAAAAGGTGATTCCCTTTCCTCTCTTACTTTGATTGGTTAAATGACAGATCCTCTCTGACAACAATTAGAAAATAAAGGAAAGTATTGACATTCAAAGTGATCTCAGTCATGTCTGAGAATCTAATTTTGAGGTAAAATTCCAGGTACATGTAAATAAAGGTGATTCTGATTCGGAAGTTGAATTATGAGATTGTTTAAATATCATAATTAGCCTATCATCGATCAATGGCTGTGTTTGCTTGATAGAGTTAAGGTTGGTTGGTTTACTTAGCAGATTGCTACAGTATGCAGGGTAGTTATGGTCCAGTGGTCAGGTTTAGGTTGGACTGGGGGGATTAAAGGGTTAAATCTTGGTGTCTTACGTAGCTCTCTCTGGGGATGATGGAACACCTGAGGTGCCGTTACTGGGAGAAGAGAAGAGAAGAAAATAGATAGGTTAGGCGGGCCTACACACAGACGCTGAAAGAGGAGAAATATATTTTTGTCTCTCCAAGCCCCATCTCTGCTTCACATCAGAGGGTTAGAGACAGTGTATGGAGGTGAGTTATCTGTGTTAGTGAGCTGTTACCTGCGCAGGCCTGCGTCGTTCTGGCTGTCCTCTGGGATGAGTTCAGACTCGCTCTGGGCAATCCTCATGGCCAGCTCCCTGTCGCGTCTCTCCTGCTCCAGGATGTTCTGACGCGCCGCCGCCTCCTCCCGCTCAGCCTCCAGCTGAACATCCATCACCGCCTGCAGAGACAGCATCTTTGAATATATGCGTGCGTGCACACACAAACACACAAGCATGCATGCACACACAAATCTGCAAAGCACAGACAATCCCAATACTACTGTGAGTGGTTCCATAATAAGGGATGCAGGGTGGCTGGGGGTTTGGACAGACCCAGTAATATGATGATTGTCCTGCCTACACCATGTCCACTCATAAGTAATTCATAAGTCAATCATAAGTCAATCATAAGTCAAACATAAGTCATTCTCAGCCCAGCCCCAGCCAGACTCATGAAGGGTACCAGAAACGGAGGGAAAAGCTACCAGACCAAAGCCTTGAGAAATAACATAAGCCTAACATTTTCCAGTGCTCTCAAAATAGTAGACCATCCCTGCAGGTTCGGTGTGACTCCAGGTTCAGAAAATTGGGTGATACTCCCTTTGGCACCTTCTTCAGTCCCTTTGGCAGCTTCCTCACACTCACACTCTCTTTGGGCCACACACAGCAACACAAAGGACATTACACACTCACACTCTATTTGGGCCACACACAGCAACACAAAGGACATTAGGCTGTTGACTGACGTTGAAGAATAGGAGAAATATAAGCACCTGTGTGTCTCTCTGTGTTTGTCTCTCTCTCTGTGTGTGTGTCTCTCTCTGTGTTTGTCTCTCTCTCTGTGTGTGTGTCTCTCTCTGTGTTTGTCTCTCTCTCTGTGTGTGTGTCTCTCTCTGTGTTTGTCTCTCTCTCTGTGTGTGTCTCTCTCTCTCTCTGTGTTTGTATCTCTCTCTCTGTGTTTGTCTCTCTGTGTGTGTGTCTCTCTCTGTGTTTGTCTCTCTCTCTGTGTGTGTGTGTCTCTCTCTTGCACTCTCTCTAAGCAAAAACATTCTCTGTCTCTCTCGGTCTCTCTCTCGGTCTCTCTCTCGGTCGGTCTCGCTCGGTCTCTCTCTCGGTCTCTCTCGGTCTCTCTCTCGGTCTCTCAATTTCAATTCAATTCAATTATTGGCATGGCAAACATGTTTACATTGCCAAAAAAAGTGAAATGGATAAACAAAAGTGAAATAAACAATACAAAGTGAACAGTAAACATTACACTCAGACAGGTTCCAAAAGAATAAAGACATTTCAAATGTTATATTATGTCTATATACAGTGTTGTAACGATGTACAAATAGTTAAAGTCAAAAAGGGACAATAAATCAACATAAATATGGGTTGTATTTACAATAGTATTTGTTCTTCACGGGTTGCCCTTTTCTTATGGCAACAGGTCACAAATCTTGCTGCTGTGATTGCACACTGTGGTATTTCACCCAATAGATGGTCATACATTTGGCAGGAGGTTAGGAAGTGCAGCTCAGTTTCCACCTCATTTTGTGGGCAGTGTGCACATAGCTTGTTTTCTCTTGAGAGCCGGGTCTGCCTACGGCGACCTTTCTCAATAACAAGGCTACATAGTCAAAGCTTTCCTTAATTTTGGGTCAGTCACAGTGGTCAGGTATTCTGCCACTGTGTACTCTGTTTAGGGCCAAATAGCATTCTAGTTTGCTCTGTTTTTTTTTTGTATATTCTTTCCAATGTGTCAAGTAATTATCTTTTTGTTTTCTCATGATTTGGTTGGGTCTAATTGTGTTGCTGTCCTGGGGCTCTGTGGGGTCTGTTTGTGTTTGTGAACAGAGCCCCAGGCTCTTGCAGGACCAGCTTGCTTAGGGGACTCTTCTCCAGGTTCATCTCTCTGTAGGTGATGGCTTTGTTTTGGAAGGTTTGGGAATCACTTCCTTTTAGGTGGTTGTAGACTTTAATAGCTCTTTTCTGGACCTCTGTCTCTCGCTGTCTCTCGCTGTCTCTCGCTGTCTCTCTGTGTGTGTGTGTGTCTCTCTCTCCCTCTCTGTGTGTCTCGCTCTCTCTCTCTCTCTCTCTGTGTGTGTGTCTCTCTCAATTCAATTCAATAGACTTTAATGCCATGGCAAGTTGAATTACTTACATTGTCAAAGTACACATATACCAACAATGGTGAGACCAACAGCAATAAGGCATCAATAATAATAATAGTAGTAGTTGAAATGGTATTACCATTAACAGCAACTACAACATTTTATTTTTTTACATTTTAGTCATTTAGCAGACGCTCTTATCCAGAGCGACTTACAGTTAGTGAGTGCATAAATTTTTTATACAACAACAATATTAATGAGAATAACATTACATTAAAGCAATAGTAGTCAGTCTCAACCTGACTGAGAAGGCACATGACATGGTATGAAAGCCAAAACCAAACCAAAATGGGAAATATTATTATCATTACATTGCACTTTTCACTGGCTGTCGATCAGGTTGTGTCAGGAAGACACATTTTGGCTTTTCACCCAATAAATATGTAATTTTTTCTTCATCTTTTATATTTTCAAATTCTTTGTACTGAAGGATAATTTTGGGAAAGAAAATATTTTCTTAGGTCTGAGTATTTGTCACAGTGTAATAGGAAATGCAGCTCTACCTCTCCCCGGGGGCAGATTGAGCACAGCATGTCCTCTCTGGGCAGCCAGGTTTTGTCTGTGACGACTGGTCTCTATAGCCAGACTGTGCTCACTGAGTCTGTACCTAGTCAGTGTTTTCCTCAGTTTTCTATCAGTCACAGTGGTCAGATAGTCTGCCACCATGTACTGTCTGTTTAGAGCCAAATAGCATTTAAGTTTTCTTCGATTTTTTGTGGTGTCTTTCCATTAGGTGATATATTTTTATTTTTGCTTTGTGATGATTTGGTTGGGCCAGATTTTCCGAGTGCTGTCCTGAGGCGCTATGGGGTTGGTTTGGGTTAGTGAACTGAGCACCAGCTGACTGAGGGGACTCTTCTCTTGTTTCATCTCTTGACATTGTAGGGCTGTGTTATGAAATGATTTGGGGTCGCTTGGTTGTAATATTTGATGGTCCTTTTTCCTTTCGAATAAGGAGGGGGTATTGGCCCAATTCTGCTCAACATGCGTTATTTGGAGTTTTTCTTTGCACTTGCAATACAGTCTTGCAAAACTCTGCATGCAGTATTTCGATTGGATGTTTGTCCCATTTGGTAAATTAATTATTAGAGAGTGGACCCCATACTCCGCTGCCATATAGAGTAATTGGCTCTATAACTGATTGTAAAATTTGAGCCAGATTCTAATTGAAATTTCAATTTTAATGTTCCTTTTAATGGCAAAGAATGCTCTTCTTGCTTTGTCTCTCAGCTCATTCACAGCCATGTGAAAGCTACCTGTGTTGCTGATATTTAGTCCTAGATACGTGTAGTTTTTGGTGTGTTCTAACAGAACTGTGTCCAAATATAATTAACATTTGTGATCCTGATTTCCGGACCTGTTTTGGAATATCATTATATTCGTTTTCTTTAGGTTAACTGTCAGAGGCCGGAGTAACCAAGGGTCAAAATAACCATTGAACAATAACAATATAGAGGTTGTGCAGGTTGGTTGGTCTGTCAGATACTGTCCCTCATCTTATGGCAGGCCGCAATGTAGTGCGCTGCCAACCCACAGCTCTCCGAGTCCTCCCCCAACAGGACGGGTAGCCTATTCTCATCAGAGAGGTCTTTCAAACCTTGAAAAACTGTTTCAAATTTGGGGAAATGACACTCTCTAATTGTTTTATATTTTTGACATTTTGTCAGGAAATGCAGCTATGTCTCAGGTTCTGCTGTGGTGCAGTGGTTGCACAGCCTTTCCTCTTCAGGGAGCCAGGTTTTCCTGTGTCTACCCTTCTCAATGGCAAGGCTGTGCTCACTGAGCACAGTGTACTGTCGATTTAGGGCCAGATTGCACTACATTTTACTTTGAGCTTGTGCTTGTGTTTCCCAATAAGCAATGTAGTTTTGTTTTGACTGTGCTGTAATTTGGTTGATTCTGATTGATTGGATGTTCTGTTCCTGAGGCTTCAGTGTGTTAGTAGAACAGGTTTGTGAACTCATCCCCAGGACCAGCTGGATGAGGGGACTATTTTCTTTGCTCAGCTCTTGGCATTGCAGGGCTTGGTAATGAGATGAGAGGGGGGTCACAGTATTTTAGTTTCCAAAACTGAATTGCTATTTTTTAAAAGTTTTTATTCTCCCTCTCATGTAGAGAAGGAGACTATCTATGTGTGGCAGGGCCTGATTAGACACCTTACACATCCACTAATTAGCGTTTCTTCTGCCTGTGGGTCCCTGAGCGAGCGTTAGCCGTAGTCTGCTGGAGCTGGCCACCATCCAGGGGCTCAATTGAGAAAACAGCCTCAGAGTTAGGGAACAAGCAGCCTTAACGGCATGGAGTCCACGGTACCAAGCCAAGCACATATTTTTGTTATAGTAAAGTTTTAATTTTTTATATATAAAAAAATAAACAAGGGGCAGGGTTGAAAAGAACATCTCACTTTAAAAAAAAACTGAGTTCAGAGAACAACCTACGAAACTCATTTTGGAAGAAAAGTTCCCTTGAAGGCATTTGTGGACAAGAAAAACTAATATGAACATTGGAGAAAAAAACATCACTCTGAAGTTAGAAGTTTGATGTCGTTTTTTCCCCCCAAAACTCAAACATGTGCAGTGTGAGTCATGAATATTTACACCAACGTGTACACAGAAGCCCAATATGATGGTGAATCTAAAGAGTAAAAAGGCTGTTTGAAAAGCACCAAGCCTGCCCCGGGCTCAGGGTGGGCACTAGGCAAGACACTTTAATCTTAGGGAGCAGCTTTCAGCATTAAACACCTGTAGCTGATCCGGGGTCAGATCTCTCAGAGCTTTCCCTCTCCAATTGGACAAGATGAGGAGCCAGACTAACAGTATATTACCCTCAGATGTCTTACCATCTCCACAGAACTGGAGTGACTGGGAGTATGGCCAGTCAGTGTGTGTGTGTGTGTGTGTGTGAGAGTGAGTGAGAGACAGACACACACAGAGAGAGAAAGAGAGACACAGAGAGAGACACAGAGAGAGAGAGAGAGAGAGAGAGAGAGAGAGAGAGAGAGAGAGAGAGAGAGAGACACACACACACACAGAGAGAGA